GAGAGAAATAAGAGTCTAATTGGTAGTTGTTAGGACTAATGTGGCCATCTGAACCTTACATATGAGGAAATAAATAAATACCATGAATTATAAGGAATGACAAGAAAAGGTAGTTATAAGATAATGGATCTTTAAAGAATGTGAAAGTATACAGCACCAATTATAGTCTTATCAAGCTGTGCCCAAGAATAAAGGGCTATTGTCCTTTCATTAATGGGTCATTTGATAAGGGAGTTTTATACTGATCTTTGTAATTTTAGTCAATTCTGCTTCTAATGAGGGGAGAGACATTGCATGTGTCCTACGCAGAAACCCCCCTCCCTTATTGGGTGCATGATATGTTGTTCATTTGTTCTTGCATGTGCCCTTTTCAATTTGGAAACTTTTTTAAGGACAAGTTATCCTACCTATTTAGGGATTGGCCCATTTTTCTTACTTATTGGGTGCATGATATGTTGTTCATTTGTTCTTGCATGTGCCCTTTTCAATTTGGAAACTTTTTTAAGGACAAGTTATCCTACCTATTTAGGGATTGGCCCATTTTTCTTACAAAATAAAAGAAACAAGAATAGACTCAACAGGGCACCTGCCCTAGAAAAAAAGGCAATTACATTCCCTTCTTCTACACCGTTTTACCTAACCATTAATCAAAATGACAAAACATGAGAGGATGAACAAGAAAATTTGCTTAATTGGGATGAACCATATATAGTAAGTGAGAGATGTCCATCAAAAGATTCAATTCACATGTTCAAAAGGGAATACCTAAATTGGTACATTAAGTTGTTCATTTTTTCACATGGGTAAATCAAAATTTTAAATTATATATTAAGTTTCATCCATTGATGATATCTATTATCGACCTAGAATTTGGTCTGCCTTCATCAAAATATGTGGCCCCTTTATTTGTACAGCTTGGATTGCTTAGCTGTACCAGTGGTACGCTTATGTTAATAGAAGAAACCAACCTTACTACGCTATGGGGTCCGATGGTCCCAAACTTACGGGAACAGGGACAACAACCCAACTTATGTGTGTAAGACCTCAATGATAGAAGAGAATAATCCTTTTTAATAAAAAATAAAAGTTAGTTAATTCAACTGAATTAAATTGTCTTTTTTTTTTTCTTTTATGCGATTTAAAGAAAAATTCCTTGTGAATAAATTATCCATTCAGTTATAATCCAGCACATAACTCGCACTACATAAATTCTTGCTAAATAGCTATGGAGTTCAACCACGAATTTGTATCCCGCACTATTAAGCGATAAATAACAAGCTTGTCCTAATACAATACCACAAAAATATTTACTAATATAAATATTTGATTATATATTAATTAAGTGTAATCTAGTCAGTCTTTCTAACTCTTGTAGAAAATATATGGAGTGAAAGATTTTGAATTAGAGTTATTTTTATTATAAAAGTTATCACTAATTTGGTGAATATTAGTGAAATGAAGGACTATCTCTACTGTATAATTGATAATATTATTTCGATTCGTTAGATATCCCATATATAGAAAAAAAAAAAATGCTTATGTCGTGGTCTCTCTACTAATGGGTTTGCTAGATACATGTAATGTATGAGTGAAAAATGGAAGTTCCCATTCTTTCATGGGTTGGTCAATGATGGGTGAATCTCCGGCTACTGTTTTTCAACCAACATCGATCGTAAAGATTAAAGATTGCCCTTGTCATCATCACGATTCTTCCTTTGCATAAACCAATGTGAAGATATAATTGCAGTCTTGATACAGCATCTTCCGAGGATTAAGGTGGAAAAAATGATGGCGGTAAGTTTAATTCTCTAAATAATTATAAACAAATTCGGTAAAGATATGAGATTAATTTGATTCTTTCACAGTACTACGATAAAAAAGAGATATTAAAATTTCGAATTATTGTTAAGCTCTTATAATAGTAAAAATATTAATATGATTAAAAAATTTTATAGATGAATAATAATTTTAGAACTATGGAAATGATTGTTTTTTCTTTAGCAATATACAAAAATTTGATAATTATTGGAAAGACTATAGATCATTGATCATATAATGGGTGCATAACAATAACAATAATAATAATAGGACCCCAAAACAGAACAAGAACTACAGAGAGGAGAGAGCAATGTCCAAAACTTCAAGCTGATCCGGACAAGGCAGTAGTCCATATGTAAAATGGGACCTACAATGAAGTGATGCCACGTGGAGACAAACTAGGCTGGAAGAAAAGGATGACGTGGCAAGAGAGTTGTAGGTGCGCACGAGATTGTAGGAAGTATAGTATACAAAGGGGGTGGTGGGAGAAGAGGGGTGTGGAGCCTGGGTGGGGTCAAGAGAAAAGGAAGTTAGATGGAGCCTTTAAGACAAACCCATCTGGCTACTATCCATATTCATGTGGCCTCATTAATCAATGTGGGTGAAATAAAAAGCAAAGCAAACCCCCAAAAGGAAAAGCATGATTCCTGTGCCTTACGAGACAAGAGTCGCTTTCTTTTTTTCCCCCCTGTAAATATGCTTCCTCTAAGATTACTAATTCCTCCTTCCTCTATCTCCTTAATGACAATCATATCCCCACTCCTTTTAATCCACTTTTACCTTTTGTTTAATTGTGATCCTACTTTAATCCCCGAATAATTTTTTTTTAGCTAAAGCAACTTTAAATTGCATAGTTATTTCTAGAATCAAGGCTTTCTGATTTTTATTTCGAAGTTTTTAATGAACCATACCGTGGGTTGAGTTTCCATTTTCATTTTTTAAAATAATTTAAATACTTTACTTTTATTTCCGCTCGCGAAATATAATTTGAAATTTGATTAAGAATTTATTTGCTTATTTGGTTTATAACTGCATCAGCTAGTATTCTTTTGTTTACCTTTAATATCTTCAGTCTTCAAAAAAAAAAAAAAAAAAAAAAAAAATTTGTTTACCTTTAAATTATCTTCAGTCTTCAAAAAAAAAAAAAAAAAAAAAAAAAAGGATTTTAATAATCCATTTTCAAAAAAAAAAAAAAAAAAAAAAAAAAAGGATTTTAATAATCATTTTCGTATTTTAATGAGGAAAGGAGACTGATGGCAATATAGACTCTTTTTTAACAAGTTTGAGAGCCTTTTGATAATTTTGGTGGCTTAAAATCATTAAAGAAAGATGTTGACGTTTGTGTAAATTGAAGGACGTGAATATTGAATTGCGTTTGATTTAGCTGTTTTTTATGGTTGAGAGATGAATTAATATTGATTTGTTAGTTCATGAATATTGAGTGTTAATTGCTCAGTAAAATTTTATAAAATATTACAGTATAATTATTTTTTTATAAATTATCGTTTATCATATAAATAAAAAATATATTAATTATTATTTTCAAATAATTATGAATAAAATAAATAATATCAAAATATAATACAAACATAATTAGCTAATAACTAATAGGAAAAAATTCTAAAATATCTAATAACGATTGATCAAGATCTTTACCAAATTTATTTGGTCTAACTATTAAATACAGATCTATTAATTGTATGAAATAGTTCAACCCAACCCTCTAATAAAATTTATGCTGTGCTGCCAAAAATCATTCAATCATCTATAAATTTGTTTTAAAGATTAAAAGCCTGGAAATTTTATTGTTGGTTATTGATTGCTCTAATAAAAAATGATGGACGAAGGGGATTGGGCGGCCCTGGCTGCAACAAATATAAATAATATTGGCTGGTGGGAGCTATAAATAAATGAACAACGGTTACTGGTAAAAACTATCTAGTGTAGTTATAACCTCTTGGCAACGCATACAGTAAATAAAATAAAAATCTAAATATTCTAAATAAATAATTTTTATTGTAAAATATATTTTAATTTTACATTTTCAACTTCAAAAAAATAATTATTTAATAATTGTAAATTATTTACTTATTTATTTATTAAAAAAAATACAAAAATAGATTATCTCCTAATTCTAAAACATACTAGAACACTTGATACATAATTAAATTCAATAAAATAACACACACATACATAATTATTATACAAATATCAAAATTAAGGCAAAAAATTTTGAAATACAGTGATTAATGAAGTTAATATCTGGGCGATTTCTATTTATTCTTATTGTAAGAATATAAATTTAACTTGCAATTTCTTGTTTTTATTTATTTTTTAAACTTGTTGTGGTAAATAAAATAAAAGTTCAAATATTATAGATAGACTGTCTAAATTTTTATTAAACCTCTCATCTCTTATATATATATTAATTAATAAATAATATTTAGAATATGAGATGGAAAAGTCTCATGATTTGGCTTGTGCATCAAAGTACAAGGTTCAAATTGAACATTTAAAAAAAAAAAATTAAAATCAATAAAATTTGAATTAAAAGTCAAATGATGATAAATTCAAAAATGGAAATAAAATAACATCAAGATAAAGAGATAAAAATAAAAACTAACTAATCACATATGTCTATTTTTTGAATTTTCAATTTTAAGTTTCTCTTATGCATGGAAATAATTTATATTAAAATATTAAAATAGTATTATTGACGTTAAATGATAATTTCAATATTTATTTTAATTCCCTTAAAAAAAAAAAAAAAGTCGTTCGCAAAACCACATCCCGAATCCTATCATTTAAAAGTGAGGTAACTTGTGTATCCATAATAGGTTTGATAAATTGACACATTGAGAAAAAGGTGTTACTTACTTCTGAGTGTGGAGAACCCATTGGATCAGAAGGGCAAATAAGTAATTTAAATATGACCTGAAATAAATAACTGAAGAGTTTTCTTACACCCTCTTTACTTACTTTTGGGGCAATTTGCTGGCGTCTTATCTTTTCTCCGGTAGTTCTACCCGAGGACCCGTGATGGGTAACCGCCAATATCAGGTCACAATCATGAAACTCACCGGATTTAGCCGGTGACCAAAATTTAGAGGCTGGTTTTATTTTATTTTATTACTACAAAGGTAGGGGTTAGGGTCATAGTCCTCTACTTGTATAGGCCACATAGTGAATGGAGAGAGAGAATCTTAAGGTATGGTGTGGTGCCAGCTATGAAGTTGAAGGATCAAAGCTTTCTCTGAGGTCAAAGCTGGCAAATTTTTATTTTATTTTTATTTTTTAGGCTTTGTTTTTCTCTCCACAACCTTCCCTATTTACACTAGTAATCTACACAGATTTTAAATCAACCATCTCTTTCTCTCTCTTCCTCTCCACTTTTCTCCCATTTTCCCTCTCTACCATATTCTCTCCCTATATATTTTTTTTCTCTTTTCAGAGAAAAAATAAAATGCGTATGCTTTGATTTCAAATAGAGGAACAGAGAGAAGAGTTTATGGTTGTTTCTTCTTCAGCAAGAATGGCTACTTCTCCATGCCTGAGCGGTTCTGAAAAGAAACACTGGTGGCTTAGCAACCGAAAGGTAATTGATTATTTGATCTTTGATTTGATGGCCTCGGCCTTTGCATTGTTCGTTTGATCGCTTGAAACGACAATAACATTTTCTGTTTTGGTGTTCTGCAGATTGTAGATAAGTACATTAAAGACGCTAGAAACCTTATTGCAACTCAGGAACAGAGCGATATTGTTTCCGCTCTGAATCTTCTAGACGCGGCTTTGGCTGTGTCTCCTCGCTTTGAAGTGGCTTTAGAACTTAAAGCTAGATCTTTGCTTTACCTTAGACGATTCAAGGACGTGGCGGATATGCTTCAAGACTACATTCCGAGTCTAAAAATCGGAAATGACGAGTCCGGTTCGGTTTCTTCTGATAACTCCTCATCTTCCTCGCAGCAGCTCTCGAGAGAACGAGTCAAACTCTTGTCTTCTAATAACTCGTCCTCGGACTCAACGGACCGCGATCCCAGCTTCAAGTGTTTCTCTGTCTCGGACTTGAAAAAGAAAGTCATGGCTGGGCTTTGTAAAAATTGCGAGAAAGAAGGGCAATGGAGGTAATAATTCATTCTATAACTTATAGTAGTAGCAGTATTCTTTTTATGCCATATGTTTTGTTTTCTGGTACAAATTTAATGGCTTTGATTCATTGTTAAATCAGTGGACATATTTCTATTGGTTAGAGTAAATGCAGGGCCAGACTTCGTTTAACATTTTTCTTTTGGGACATGGGGTGGTGCCCATTATTGGATTTACAAATTTTCACTTCAGAAATTCTGCAATTACAGTTTTACTGTTTCTCATAAAGGAAAAGAGCACATGAATTTACTCTGGTTTTAACATAATTGACTTTTTTTTTTCTTTTTTTTTTTTGGGTCAAATGTTGAAAAATTGTCATGGCTTATCTGTATTGATTCACTGTATCGATTGCATATTAAAGTTCATTGACTTAATTTTTTTTTAAAAGAAATTTGGTAGTTGTTATGTTATTTTCCTAAACCTATTTTTTTAAACTAATGTATATTCAGATGAATCCTAGACTTACATTACATAGTTGTATTTCAATCGTGTAAAAGTCAGATCTTAGATAATTACCATAATTAATCAAATCTTATCTGTTAAACATTAGTTTAAGAAAACAGTGAAGAATATATTCACTCACGGATTTACTGTTGAATTCTTCCAGATACTTGGTTTTGGGCCAAGCTTGTTGTCATCTGGGTCTTATGGAGGACGCCATGGCCCTCCTACAAACCGGAAAACGCCTTTCTACAGCCGCATTCCGCCGGGAAAGCATTTCTTGGTCCGACGATAGTTTCTCCATTTCCAACTTCCCAATCTCCGGTGACATATCCACTTCATCAGCCCCACCAACGCCACCGCGAAATTTATCCGATACGGAAAGCATTTCCCAGCTTTTATCCCACATCAAGCTGCTCCTCCGCCGCCGTGCCGCAGCAATCGCCGCACTTGACGCAGGACTCTATTCCGAGGCCATCCGCCACTTCACAAAGATTGTAGAAGGCCGCCGCGGGGCCCCGCAAGGATTCTTGGCGGAATGTTATATGCACAGAGCTTTTGCGTATAAGTCATCAGGTAGAATAGCGGAGGCGATTGCTGATTGCAACAAAAATTTAGCTCTTGACCCTACATGTATACAAGCACTAGAAACAAGAGCGTCACTTCTAGAAACAATCCGATGCTTGCCTGATTGTTTGCACGATCTTGAACACTTGAAACTTTTATACAATTCAATCTTGCGAGACCGAAAACTTCCAGGTCCGGCCTGGAAACGGCATAACGTTCGATACAGGGAGATTCCAGGGAAACTCTGTGCATTGACTACAAAGATTCAAGAACTGAAACTGAGAGTAGCTTCTGGAGAAACTGGAAATGTTGATTATTATGCTTTAATTGGACTAAGGCGGGGTTGTTCAAGATCTGAATTAGAAAGAGCTCATTTATTGCTCTGTTTAAGGCATAAACCTGATAAGGCTATAAATTTTGTTGAAAGATGTGAATTTGCAGATGATAGGGATCTTGATTCAGTCAAAGATAGAGCTAAAATGTCTGCATTATTGCTCTATAGATTGCTTCAAAAGGGTTATACAAGTGTAATGGCTACAATAATGGAAGAAGAAGCTGCAGAGAAACAAAGGAAGAAAGCTGCTGCTGCTTTACAAGCAGCACAAGTAGCTGCAGCTGCAGCAATTCAAGCGCAGAATACAAAACCTGAATCAAATCAATCTACAATGGAGAAATCAGGTCCTAATAGAATCAGTTCAACTGAAATTGCAGTAACATCTTCAGGAACTACTAATTCATCTGTTTTTCAAGGGGTATTTTGCCGGGACCTCGCTGCAGTTGGGAATTTACTATCTCAAGTTGGATTTAATCGTCCAATTCCAGTAAAATATGAGGCATTGAGCTGCTAAGTTAGAGTATCAACAACAAGAACAAGTCTTTGAGATGTTAACGGCGGTAGAATCTCTGGTTCATTTTGTACAAAATATATATAATTTAGGCCGCCGGAAAATTTTGTCACCCTTTGTCTTCTTCTATCACTCTCTTTCTTTTCTTTTCGTTTTTTTTTTTTTTTCTACATCTTATTTTCATCATCTACTACATGTACAGAATTTTCAAATTTTCAGTACTCAGAGCCAGTTTCTACTTTTTTTTAATATATATTTTACGATTTGCTTAGTTTATTTGGACTATTCTCTTATAATTATTTTTTAAATCACCCGTTCAGTTGATATAAATGTGATGTTAATGGGTAGATATTTAAAAGGATCGATACTTTGGGTACTCTGTTATAGCAGGTGCGTACAGATACAGAAGAAGGTGATAGAGAAGCTGGTTTTGTCTTCTCTTTTATGTCTTATCTGTAGAGTTCTATAAATTTTCTCTGGTTAGTTTTATATCCATGAACTGACAAATCTGACATTCCACTAGATTTCATTTATTTACTAATGCCACTCAAATGGGTTTTCTTTATCCACTCTAACTCTGTCTAAGTTGCAATCCTATTGGTCTAAGAGCATACCCTGTCCCTGTTATGGCTTTGAGTGCCCACTTGTTTTTTTTAGACTTCTTTTTCTTTTTTTTTTTATTTTTTATTTTTTATGGTGGAACCTGGAAAAAACCCTACAGTGGGAAAAGGGTTTGTCAGGTTTCTTTTTTCTTTATTTATTTATTTATTCCAGTCTAGAGAAAAGGTCTAATCAAGCACTCAATACAAGAAAAGAAATAGAGTTAGAAAGGAGGTGTCAATTCAAAGGTTACACTTTTGCCATCATTGGGAGTTTGTTTGGGTCTAACTATTACCTATTGGCATCTAATAGAATACTGTTCTATTCTTGCACACCACTCACTATATATATTGACACAGTAACAGTAAGTGTAGAAAATAATTACCGAGTCTGGGAGAGCAATAATGGTGATTCTGTAAGGGAAGTTTGGACTTTTAAGAAGGTTGTTGGGGGAATTTATCAAAGTAGGTTTCCAACTTCATAAACCTAATTATGTATGTTGATGGTTTTAGGTTATAATGTTTTCTGTCATAACTAAAAGCCTGTGATTTTTGCTTCTTGGAAAGCTTGCATCATTATTCTCCCATGCAAAGGAGCACAAAGCGGTTCAATTCTTTTTCTCAAGAACCGTTTATTGCAAATATATAATAAATTAGGTTGGGGTTGAAATTTTCAAATTAATGCATAAAATGGTTCACTTTGTTCAGCTTTTTTTAAACCTAATGTTTGATTTAAATTGTGGGTAGCTTTACTTGTTAAAACGCTCTCTTTTTCTTTCCTTACAAGTGATTTGAGGATCCTTATGAATCGGCTTTGTTCTTTGTTCTTTGTCCTTCCACGCTACTCAATCACTTCCTTTGCTTTTCTTACTCTTAAACTTATTCTTCTTTTCTTTTTCAACTGGAATTTGTGTCACATGGTTTCAAGATTTTTCTCCTTCAATGCCCAATTAAAATTCATCTTTAATCAAGAAATCATTTCTTTTTCTTGATTTTCTTTAAACAGTACTCTGAATTAATTTTCTCATAACAATATTAAAGAAATATATTTTATTTCTCTTATAATTTCATTCAAAGAATTTCAAACTCTAATATTTCAAATTTGTGCAACCAATAAATATTATAATGGGATGAAAATTGGATTTTAATATTCCTGACATGCTTTTGAAAATTCACTTAAAATTCCAAATTGCAAAGTCAAATTGACATGTTCTTATTATTATTTAATGAGATTCCGATTTCATGCTTAGGTTTAATCCTTTCATAGATGAATTGTTAAACAGCCAATTTCCACCAACGAAGTATATATAGAAATTTTTATTTTATAGTAATAAAAGTAGTGATTGCAAATAGATATTTTTTACGCTAACTCATCATCATCATCATTTTCTATTCTCCTAATTAGTAATTACCATTTTAATTATCATTAGTGGACAGTAATGGGGGATGACTTGCAGATTTGGAGCAACTCACCACATCAAGACCCTATAATTAATAAAAACAATATAAATTTAGATAGAATTATTACAACTATCTTGCACATCTTTGATCTATTTTTCATTTTTTAACTGTGGAAAACAGCTTTAAAGTATGAAATGATATTGATTAGCCAGTTAATTATTACTATCTCTTGGCACTAATCAATTGCTCTTCTGACATAATTATAATATACTTAGGTATTGCTGTTTTTATTAGGCTATTCCATTATTTATTATTTAATCATTTACTATTTTAATGGATAGTTTATTATCTTGTGGCGAAAGAAAAGGTTGCGGGAAGGCTTTGCACGAATTCTCACAACTTGATTCTCTATTTTTATATTTATCAGTCAGGGATAGTAGTGCTTTCCTCCACAAAAGCCTAAGAAATCTTTTCTAAAAAAAAAAATCACTGTTGATTCGATAATCCATTCATGACTTTGCTGCAAAATTAACTGTATTAATAAATGTTAAATGCATTAATTGCTATGAATTGCTTATTAACGTTTTTGTCAAATGTTAGAGTATCTTTACATGTTTTACTTTACTAAATTCTAAATATTAATATAAATATTATCCCACCGAATTAGTCTTAATAATTAGAAAATTTTCTTTTAAATCTTATCCAATTTATTTGATATGGTTGTTTGAATTATTATTCGCAAAAAATAATGTCAAAATTATTGATGAGAAATTATTGAAATTGATTTTAATTTATAAAAATAATTATAAAGTTTAAAATAATTAAAGAAATAATTTTTTAACAAAACCCAGAATAGTATATTTTTAAAAAAGAGAAGGTCTAAAATTAATTTCAAACATGATTTTCGTTTTGTTGCAAATGATTTACTATTAACCAATAAAAGATATAAAATTAGTAATGTATACAAAAATTGGGTTATGGTTTCGCATAAATGTAGTAAAATAATAGAATATTTATCTTATAGTATATTAATTTTAGAATTATTTCAAGTTTGGTGAGTTGAAAGCAAGGAATGTTTTTGAGGATAAAAGAAGAAATAGGATTAGTGGAGGGTTGAAAATGGGATTAAGATGGATAAGAGGGGTTTAAGGAAAATCACACGTGATGTTTGAATGTTGGGAACATTGGAAAGAGGAGAAGTCGTGGCCAGATATGATGATGTCAGGGGCACCATGTGATTGTATTATCATATTCATGTGCAAGAAATTGAAATTGCAATTGTAATCTCTCTCACATAAAAAATGGGTTATGAATAAACATAGCTGTTATGTATAAGATTAATTAATCACACAAAATCTGACAAATTCTTCTCAGACTAATTAGCCTATTACTGCTTATTCTCCCTTTAATAAAAACACCGAAGAAAAGTACAAAAAGACGAGTCAAATGAGTTTTTGATTATGAAGTACCAATTTCTTTTTTGGGTTTTTAATGATTTGCCATTATGTGAGAAATGTAGGGTCCAAAACCCTTTTTTTCTTTTTTTGCAGGAAAAAAAAAAGAAGTCAAATATAGTTTGGTAAAACAATAATTACTATTATTATTTTGATTGCATTAGATATTTCATTATTATTATTATTATTATTATTATTATTATTATTTTGGTATAGGGTTTAATTATTGTAAGTTGGACTTGCATTAAACACGAATCTGCCAATAAGAGAACATGTGACATGCTGTGAAATGTTGAGTTATGAAGTGCTTTCTTTTTTTTCTTTTTTTAAGGATCAAAGTCAATTAAAACACATAAGTGCAATATATAAAGTTTTTGATTTTTTCATGCTCATTTATTGATGAATCATAATTGGGAAATTGAATTGCGCCATACTTAATAGTTGGTACACAGAGATTTAATATGCTAGAATTAATGTACTATACAAAGGTGTAAAACTAAATTTGTACTTATTGAGATGAGATTTTTTGGTACATTTTAAATTTGTGGTGGTACAAATATGGGGTAGAGGGGTAATATTGGTTTGCGGTGGAATAAAGATGTCTACCTCGTTGATTGTAGACTGCAGTGTTGTCTGCCAATAGAAATTTTGTTGTGGCTTAGAAAGCAAAATTTGATTAAAAAATAGCAATTAAAGGGAAAAATTTTCAGCACAATCATGTATTATTGAATGCTTCAGTGGAGGCAGCAGTTTCTTCAAACCAGCATTGACCTAAAATATTAAACAACCAAACTAGCGATTGACCTACAAAGCCCAACTCCCTCACGAAGCAACTGCTATTTTCCCTGCGTTTGGGTTAAAAAGGGTCAACTGATTCAAGTTCGGGTTATGTGTTTCGTACTTTCTAGGTGGAAATTGGGCCAGACCAGCTTATCTCTGTTTATGAGCCCAAAAAATAAAAGCCGAAAGCGCTACATCTCTTCCCCTGGAAACTTGAGCAATGACGTCGTACCTGGGCAACTACTTTCCTTTTCTAACAACAGAAGTTAGTTTAATAAGAGAAAGACACTTTCTGTCCTGAGTTTATATTTCAGAGATGTACTTGCGTTATTGCCTGAACAGAAGTTCGAGACACCAAAACTAACAAGTTTCTAGAAGGCAATTTTTACAAAAACTACCACTTTCGACCAAGACAAAGTACAACAAATTCTACATGTTTGGCCACACCCAAACGTCTGCGACTAGGCTAGTGATGTAATAAAAATGGTGACGAGGAATCAAAAATACTTGGTATTTAACGAAGAAGTCCCTTTTCTTCTCCTCTTAGCAGAACTATTGCTGTTACTGCCTCCACTACAATTAGGACAAAACCAATCCTCCTCTGGAATGTTTTCAAGAGGAGGGTCAAAACAGTCCATATGCATACCTATTCCACAACCTATAGAACCACTTTCATCGCCACATATAAGCATAACATCTCCTCTATCACGCGATCCGCAAGCTTGACAAGCTGTATCATCACTATTACAAGTATCTGACGGTGGTGTAAAATCTTCAACAATCTCTTCCGCCCTGCTCAGCAGGTTTTCAAATGATTTCTCTGCCCAAGCGTGGGTATTGTATAGTACGTGTCTCTCCAGAGAATACCCAGGCTTGCAGACATACTCTACCAAGTAATCAGCAACAATGCACGGTATTTCATGTTGTAGAAATTCTTGCACCCATAAATCAACGCGTGGCATTCCAGGGCTGACAACGGCGTAGTCAACCCCAGATTTTAGGAATCGAGTGTAAGGAGGAGAAGTTGCTAATATGGTCCCATCGCCTGCCTTCACTACTCGTTTCAGAGTATCCTGTTCATCGAGGTACAAGTGTATCAAAAAGACATTATGCAGAGGAAGAGTATACTACTACAATCTTTTCTAGACAACAGAAGGAGTGCAGCCAAATATCATTTGCAAAGAAAACGTACCAAAGGCGGGGCGATGCATTCTCCATAAATGATAATACGCATGCCATAGAATGCACCATGACCTGTTTTCTCCCGTAAACGCCGCCACTTTCTTGGAGCCTCTAAATTGATTGCGCCATCTTCACTAAGGCCATTCTTATGCCATTCATATGGTTCCTCATCCAAGAATTTTCCTGATTGACTACAAGCAGTTAGATAATCGGTCTTAAGAATCCACCTGCATTCAATATATCATCACTCGTCAGTCTCTCTATTTGAATTGAAGATCAATATACTAACTAATAAATGATGGGACTCGTTTCAAACTGCTTAGCAGAACAAACAGAAGGCATTACATTATTTTTATGCCAGCAACGCTAGGTTAAAAATCCCAAAGCAATTTCAGAAATTAAAAAAAGCTAAACAGGAACATGGCCAATTCTGATAGTCTTTCAGGGTATTCAGTACCTTCCAGAAGCTGCAGCAGCAAAAAACTTCTCAGTCCTACGAATTGGATCTGGCGTTATGAAGTGTGTTGCTTGGTATGACCACTGATGGGAATCTCTGCAGACTTTTCCTTTCAATCGCCTAATAACTTGCTGAAATTCTTTCCTCTGTAACTTATGTCCGCTCAGTATAAACCATACAGGTTCAGTTTTCACTTGTTTTGAAACTTCTCTCACTGGCGTGCAATTAGGATTGTTTTTCCAAGACTTCTGCTTAACCTTCAATGACACTTTATCAGATTTAACCATTGTTTTTCCAAGAGGCTCTCTGGGCTGATTTATATCTTGACCTCCACCTTCAATTGGTTTGTTCTCCTTCTCCACTTCCATGGAGCTCTTCGACTTCTTCCCATCTACATTTCTGCTCTTAGTTTTACTGGTCGTACATGGCTTGGTTTTCTTTCTTTCAATAGCTTTCTCCTCTACATTGCCCTTACAAATATCTTTCCCTTGCAAATCTTCTGTAGCTTTTGCTTGTTCAGGGACAGGAGGGACAGTCTTTGTCTTGGTCCTTGCCTTACCTGATGGCTGTCTTTTCCCTTTACTTACTTTGCCTTTCAAACCATTTACTTTACAGGTTGATTCATCTTTCTGCTGAAGTTGATCAGCTGCAATCTTCTCTTCCTTTCCACTTTCTTCCATGCCAGAAGCAGCATCATTTGTTGTATGCAGAGCCCCCTCTTGTTTCAGTTCCATCTCATTATCTGCTTTATGTGACAAATCAACTGCCTTATCCTCTGAAGCCTCAGTTTCATCATCCATAAAATTAGTCTCAATCTCAAAACTATCTCCAGTCCTCGTGCAATTTTTTTTATCCGCCTCGTTTATTGCAGAAACATTGAAAGTGTCTGGGGATGTCTCAGGCTCATTGGCACTGTACAGTTTCTCATGATCTGTCCTCTCTCCAGGCAGAACAATTGTGAGATCATTTTGTAAAGAAACTATATTTGAATAAATAGATCCTTTTTGGTTTGCAGTACTATTCAATTTCGGTCTGGAGCCCAAAGTCTTCCTGGCAATCGTCTTCTTCCTGCCTTGCTTGGTAACTAAGTTCCTATTTCCTTCATGAAGCTCTTCCAAATTATCACTCGTCTGACATTTCTCTGTTTCTGATTTTCCTTCAAAGGAAGATGGAACCTGTTTATCTTGCTGCTGATGCTGTGGCAGCACAGCATCTGAAACCACAAGATCAGATTTTTCAACCCCAAAATCTCTATCATCAGATTTGTCAAACAAACTTGACTTTCCCAATCCAATGAAGGATGTTTGTGGGGTCTTTTCTTTCACACCCTCATTTTGTTCAGGCTCTGGGGCTGTGCTCTCAGGGAACAAAAGACCTTCTGTGAATGGTTTCTTTTTGAATTTTGATGATTTGCCTGATGAAGCATCAACATTTAACTCCTGTGCAGCATTGACAGTAACTATATCATCCATAGAGTTATCATGTTTGCCGCTACCCAGGGGAGAGTGTTTACTAAACTTAGACAGACCATCTACCAAAGATGCCGGTTCCAATCCTTGGTTGCAACTAATTAATGGACTTCCAGCCACACTTGCTTCCTCAGCAAATTCAAATTTGCTAGAAGGCATATTAATGGATTCGCCAAACTGTAATTTAGGAGAGCCTTTTACATTGCCCAATTCTCCGGACAAAATTGATTCACTGAATTGTACTTTAGGAGAGCCTTTAGTATCTAATTCTCCTGATAAAATTGATGATGAGGATTTCTGTGGGGATTTCCTTGGTGTTTTCCTAACATAACTTACAGCAATAAACCTTGCATCAGAATTAGACTTATTGGCACTTCTAGGTATAGATTCCAAATCGCTACACCCTTTTGTAGACTTTGGAGTTCTGTCTTGTAGATCAGGTAACCCAACAGAAATAGCATCATTGGAAGCACCAGAAACCTGGCAAGCCAACACCTCAGAAACACAAGTATTATCAATACCTACTGCAGTATCAATTCTATGCTTCCTGCCAGGAGTTAATAGCATGTCCTTATTCACAGCACTTGGCAGACCTTCAGGCTCGCTTAAAATTTGTGGCATTTTTGGCAGTTCCCCAGTTGATTTGGGCAGTTGACAAGGCTTGGGAGTACTGATTTTTAAATGGGGACTCTTATATGTGATTTGATGACTTGATTGCTTCACAGTGATGTCCTCCACATCCTCCTCAGAATCCTTTGCTTCAGCTTCCATCATCTCCATCTCGTACCCACTGTAGTCAGGCAGTGAGACTTAGGCATTTGTTTCTGTTCTTATTAGAGTTAAATGTAAAGATCTAATAGAATCATTAACTAAGCGATCAAGTAAAAGAAAATTATGGTGCCTGATTAAATAATTTGTCATGACTTCACTCATACACGCACACAAAGATATATATGTATAACTTGTCGTGACTCAGGCCTGTCTCGTTATTCAATTCCCCCAACCCAGAAAAAGAACAGATAATTCTTCCCAACTGCAGCAACCCAAATACTAATCCAACAAATTCAGATACCTCACCTCTTGTTATAATTATCTTCTGGAAGAAGCTCCCAATCCCTTAAGCTGCAGAAGGAAAAAAATAAGTTCATTATGAAATAATCCATACTTTACAGTAGACACCTAATTATTTCAAATCATAGCAGAACAAAAGGCCAACTTACCAGTCCTCTAACCAACGATGGTTGACAAGCTTTATTTTCTTCAGTTTACTGGCAAGCTCATACTTCTCACCTATACAGTGTTGCATGGGTGAGATTAAAAAAAAAAAAAAAGATTTGTAACATAATAAAGGGTTAAGAACACAAATAGAACGATCCAAGTTCTTCAGCATTTTATTTAATAACAAATATTGCAAAAATTTCAAGAACAAAAAGAGTTAATGAAATAATTTTTGCTTTATCAATTTAAATGCGTGCAACCAAAAAAAAAAAAAAACTTCAGCAAGACCAACTAAAGAATGGCCGATAATATGTATAAAGCAAAAACAGAAACTGCATAGGACATCATTTTAAGGAAACAACCCTTGAATGGCTTGTCTTACTAATTGATTAGTTTATAAAAACACTTGCTCTTGAATTATTCAGGTTTTTGGTGTTGTATTTGACTACTTTCAGCTACTAGCTTCCATCTACCATGATAAGAAGATAACATGATAATTCAGTAGGCGACTATGAGCTTACATGTATGTGAATTTAGCTATGAAATGTCAATACGCACCACAAGTGACTGACAGGAAAAAGAAAGATTATACTGACTGATAGAGTGTAATTAAGTATTAAATGAAGGAAAATGAGCATAAAAAAGGAGCAGGAACTTAAAATATGAATTAAAAGCCCAAGTCCTAATGGATTGTAACAAGGTTCTGGCAATGAGAATATTAAAACCGCACCTTCAAATTTATAGCATATGAGATGAGTAACCTTGTTTGCTACCAATGGCTTAGAAAACTGTGCACCCATCAGGCTAACCATGGTCTAGGAATGAAAAACAAAAAAGTCAGCTATAACATCACAAATCACATGAAAGAATCCATCCTAAATAGCTACAGTAAAAGAAGAAAAACGAGCAGTGTGTGCATACCATAATGTCATCTCGATCTTGTCTCTGGTATCCAGTTAAGCACATAATTAAATGTTTGGCACCCGGAATTCCATTCAAATCTCTAGGAGGTCTATACATAATCTACACAAAAAACAATAGTAAGGGCCCAACTCCATGCACATTTAGTACTAGAAGGACAAACTAAAGTTCTAGAAGCAGAAACTATTCGCCTTTGTTGATAGTTTTAGTCAAGGCAGAGTAAGGACCTCAAATCTTAAACAGACACCAATAATGATTTTGTTCGTAGGAAGAGATGCATATGCCCTTCAGTACTTACAAGGAAATTATAAACAATAAAAATTAAAAACAAAAACTACAAATAGAGAAGAAACTCACTGAAGTAGCATCGACTGCCATTCCAATATCACAACTATGGTCAACCCATAGTGCTGTGACCAGAGTCTTCCCATCATTTCTTGCTGCAACACATAGAGGATCATCCTACAGATTATAAAAGCATTTATTAAAATACATGAACCTACATTTCGTGATTCGTACGATTCAAAAAGAGAACAAAATTAGACGAAATTGAAGTGAAAAACATTGATAATAACTTACATAAACAATTTTATCCACAATCAGGTGGGAACAACTTTGGCTGTATTGACCAGCATCCACTCCACCGCCATTAAGGAGCTTGGCTCGAACCTACACTTGGTGGCATTAAGGTAATAACGGTAGTAAATTAGTAATCAGTAACGGCACCAATTAATCCGCTACAATTTGACAAATCCAAAATAAAAACGCTCAAAAAAGAAATATAAACAGAGACAGAGAGAGGAACCTGGCGTTCGTGGATGGAATCAAAACCAAAGAGAACGAAACGGACACCCAGAAACGTTTTGGAGGGAGAATTGGAATCCAGCATTGTATTGAATTCGCCTTGGAGAGAGTATAAAATTAGGGGAAAGTGAAAAGAACAGAGATTTTAATTTGAAAGTGGAAATAGAAGAGCGGAGGGCATGGACCTGAGAAAGAAAGAGAAGACGAGTGTTTTTGGATGTGAACTGAAAGATAGAAAAATGGAGGTTGTGTTGTTTCCTAAAACTTGTTAAGGAAGAGTCGAGAGTGGAAACTATTAGGAGAGAGGGAATTATTTTACGTCGTTTTGGATTTAATTTTGGGCCCTGGCGGGAGATAGAAATTTGCATTGCAGTCCGCGGTCGCATGACCTGGCTCCACGTGAGGGACACGTGTTTAGTCTCGGTTCGCAAATTTGAGCAACGTGCACTTGATTCATCTTGAGCCCAAATTGGCGTTTACTTAACGAGTACAAACGATAATGATGGATCCGACCACTGAACCAAAGGCCGACGGCTCTTTGGAACAATGGGCCCATATTTTTAAGAAGTCGATGGACCTTTCTCTTTTTTAGGCCATCAGCTAGAAACAGCCCAAAAAGTAAACAGTAAAAAATTTCAATCACAATTTGTAGTATATTTTATTTTTTTATTAAATTGAATAAAATTCTACATTTCAAATAAATTAAATTTATTTAAATTTACTCGGTATTTTATTGAATGTTTTTCTCAAATCAAGAAAAATGAATATTTAAACTGCATTAGAATCCAAATATGTTGAGAAAGTATTTTAAAATATTTTTAGCATAATGGTTCTTTTAACACTTAAAATTCATACATTTTAGCATAATATAAAATTTAGAATTTAGTGTCTTTTTTTGATATAAATTTGATTAAATATTTTAAAAACCTATTCCAAACTTGCTCGATGCTTAATTAAAAAAACAAAAGGTGTATTTTCAAACAAATTTTATCTATAATTTTAAATTTTTAGTGTATTTTTCCCATTAGAAACCTCAATTTTTTATGCCAATACATTAAATGGGCATGGCTTAGTAGTAGCATCCAAGAAGCGTGGCAGCTAGGGTGGTATTGTTTTTCTAACGGGCCTCATTTATCACACGAATGAAATTCTATCTTTGGTGGTTGAGTACTGTTCAAGGCATTCAGTTTTTTTTCTCCCTTGACCATTGGTATACATATCTTTTTAGTATGGAATGTTTATTCCAACTTAGAACTTAGTCGCAGTTAAAATTTTTTACCTCTCTTTCTACAGTTGTATTTAATTTGATAAATTTTATTAAATTCAGTTTTAATAAATCAAATTAAGCGTAAACAGTTTATCACCTCACAATACGAGAAAGTACAAAAAAATAAAAGAAAATAAAGAAATTTCTCTAATTATCGTTCCAGGGCAGCCCCGTGATGTCTCCGTGGCAGTCTTTTGTTTACTAAAGTAAAATATTATCACCTAATTAATCAACTCCAATTTTAATTAAAATTAATCAAGGTTTATTATATAAATTAAAAAGAAAAACCATTATTCAGAAATTCATAAAGAAAGGTACCTACCTATTCCTTGACATTTGAAGAGCCTGTATCTGTATTCATCCACCACGAGACAGAGAGAGGAAGAGAGATATGGGTTGGTTAACTCGATTTCTAGCTGCGGTGGCTTTCTTAGCCATCGGAGTGATATTTTCTCCAGAAACATTTGGATCAAAATCCGTTAGTCAGTTATCGACTTACTTGAAACTGGCTCACCTGCTCAGCTTTTCCACGGCGTTTGGTGCGGCTCTTTGGGTTACCTTCATCGGTGGCATCATAATGTTCAAGTAAGTACCATCTCTTTCATCATAATCGATTTCTACCCCCTATCGCATACTCTGTTTACCCATATTAGGTTGTAATCAAGTCAAACGGTTATATCTAACTCAATTCTGTCAAATTCCCATGATTTGGAAGTGTATATGAAATTCAGTGTTACATCGTTAGCTTATTATGTAGAGTTACTTGAATATGGAGAATCCGCAAAAATTTGAAACTAAAATTTTTAGTTTGGTTTTCTTCAAATGAAATATTAGAAGGCATAGATTTTTAACGAAATAAAGTCCAATTTGCCTCTTGAACTTGTTATTCAGGAACAAAGAGCTACACAATCGGGCTTTTGACTCATTTACCCCTGAACTTATAATTCACGGTCAATTTGCTCTAAAAAGCCCAAATTCATTCGAGAATTTGGGCAAATTGCTTGAAAATTTGGACAAATTTAAAGACTTTTGGGCAAATTGCTCGTGAATTACAAGTTCAGTAAGCAAATTGAGTCAAAAGGTCGATTTGGTCGCTTTTTGTTCCTGACTATGAAGGATGAATTTTCTTTTTTGCTTCCATTTCCTGAGTAAGTAATGAAAGGCTTTATGTCTGATTTATTGAGAATGGTTAGTAAAAGAGAATAATTTTGTATGGAAATCAGGAACCTACCTAGACATCAGTTTGGTAATTTGCAAAGCAAGATGTTTCCTGCATATTTTTGGTTGGTGGGTGTGTGTTGTGCAACATCAGTGGGATCATTTGGTTACCTGCACCCATGGAAATCTGCATCCACTGCAGAGAAGTACCAGCTGGGCTTTTTGCTTTCCTCCTTGGCTTTCAACCTTGCCAACTTGTTTGTCTTTACACCCATGACTATTGAGGTATAACTCTTGCAACTTTTCAATCCAAATTTTGTTTCAAAGATGTATATCATCTGCAGTATCAGTGTGTGTTACTGGAAATCAGTTCCTATTACAATTCATCCATTGCTTGTAGAATGTTAAAAATTGCAGTACCATTTAATTAATGTTTTTGTAGTTCTGCCTATCTTCGCTTGGGTGTTGAGGAAATTGAGGTAGAAGATAGAAAATGAACACTTAACACTTTCATTTTCTTTCCTTATATCAGTTGGAAAATATAAATAAAGTTATGCAGTTTTGGACTTATTTTGCAAGACATTAAAAATTTGGATGCATCATGGTCCAATCTTTGAATTGGATAAGCAAGATCCTAATTATTACATCATGGTTCAAATATATAATTTCCTTTCCAGTTTTGTGTTCTCAACTACCATTTTTCTTTTGCTAGGACTACCCAACCACTGGTTAGAGATAACTGCTGGCATTCAATTGAACTAATATTAATTCTCAATTTGATACTGTTCCAATTTCTGGAAAAAAAATGCAGTGACTCTCTTGTTGTTTTCAGTTTTCTCTTGTGCTGTTAATAAGTTACATGTGTTATTCAGTTTTCTCAACTTGTGAATTTTGATTTGATTGCCCGGTTTAGATGATGAGACAAAGGCACAAGGTGGAGCGAGAGGAGAACATCGGGACTGAAGTTGGGTGGTCAAAGAACCAGGAAGCTGCAAAGACTAATCCAAAGCTTGCTGCCATGAACAAGAAATTTGGCATGATCCATGGTTTTTCATCTCTTGCTAATATTATGTCTTTTGGTGGTCTTGCCATGCACTCGTGGTACTTAGCAGGTAAGCTAAATCTGTAATTTGAACTTGAGGTGAAGCTTGTTTCCTGCTATGGATTAAATGAATTAGACATAGACATTAAGTACTTTCTCGTTGATATTTTCTGATTTTTTCTGGCCAAGCTATGTATCCTAAACAATGTTTCACATACTTTGCAATAAAAGTTAAACAGATTTACATGTACATTTCCCCATTTAGTTCTTTTACCATGTAAATTTAGTAGGTGTTTGATACGTTGGAACAAGCATCTCGATTGGTTTTATTATATGAATGCCCTTGCTTGTTCCTGGCAGGATATTTGGACTTCTTGCATTACAGTTTTCAATCTCCTAACTACACACCATACTAATGTTTCTGCATGACATGTCGGAGTGAGTGTAGAAATCTGAGATTAAGAACTATTAGTTAGTTTTGAAATTATGTTGCATGAAAATTGGAGTGTTTCAATTTTTAAATCCCATTGTACATTGGCCCAAAAGTAACTATATCATTAAGTTTTGACAACTCTTCAGTTTAGATGGCTTCCGCCTGTATAATCAACGTAACCCAACTCTAGATCGTTCCTCGTCGTAAGGGGCTAGTTTTGGATGCACCAAATCTTGGTCTGGGCTGATTGCTCATTTGCTTTGTCCATTCCTTCGTGGGCCTTAGTAATGTTGCTTTTTGAACTGAATCGTCCAATCCAACTATAAATAGTCAAAACAGTCGCCTATAAAGTTGGCGTCGGGTCGGATTAAACCAACGATGGTGTTGGCTTAAAATTTTTAAAACACGAGAATTAAATTTTTTTTAGTACATTTAAATATTTTTTAAAATAATCATAAATAAAATGATCATTTAATTTGGAAAAAAAAATTATTAGTAATTATTTTTATGCGGTTAATGAAGTAAAAACATAATATAATTATGAATCAGATGAAAAAAATATCAAAAGATAGCTGATAGAATTAGATTGAAACTTCTATCTGCGGTTAATTAAGAAGGTTATCAAATACTTACACTAAATTGTTAGGAATGAATTAATTATGAGTTGTATAAATGAGTTAAAACTAAACTGTTAGGAATGAATTACTTATGAGTTGTATAAATGAGTTAATCCAAAAATCCTTTAATATCGACAAACATGTCATTCTATGTTGTTTGCATTTATAATCATTGCTAATTAGTGGTCACTAAACACGACAAGTGTGCCATAACCCTTGATAAATATCATCTCATGACTTGGTATCTTCCTCCTTTTTTTCAACTTTCCAATCCGATGTGCTTGGCTTATTAATGGCACTTACCAACTGATCAAGACGTTTTATCCTGGTTCGGGCCTCTAGTGGTCCACCCTCCCAAAAGTTCAAGCCTTTCAAAATGGCAAAACATAAGAAGCAACAAAATGACATGAAATGAAAACGACACAACTCAAACACCGAAAACACTAATACACTACGTACGACTCAACCGAAAAAGCACGCAGACTATGCCTCGTTGGATGGATAGGCACAGAGAGAAGAGCCATTTTGGACTAGGGACATGCACAGTTTGTCTCCAACTGACCATTTTGTTGCACCCTTTTGCGGACCATGACTTTTTAGCCTCGCGGCTTGTCGATTTGGTCTTCTGTCCATGTGCTTAACGTGAAAAGAATATTTTATTTTGTAATTAATCTATAATTCAATTTCCTGCCCTTTTCTCTTTGGACCTTGAATTGTCCCTTTCTCAAAGAGAGAGTTGCTTAATGTGTATAGTTTAACTGAATTTTTGATGACTGATTTTGATGCTCCGAATAGCGTTAAGTCTGGTTGAGATAATTTGTCAGTCGAGTAAATAGCATCCACAATTACAAATATCACATGGAAGATGAGCCTAATTTCGTGTTTAGGACATCTACGCCAAATCTCGCTTTCAAATGTAGGTGTAATTTGACAGCCTAACACTAAAATCATTCAAAAGCTTTAAATCCTCATTTGCAACATTACCCATAACAGTATTTCCATCAGATTTGAGAATTTTACAAACGGTAATCTCACTTCTGTGAACAAATATTGGTTTATGGTTTTCCTCAATATAACGTTTCAACATCTCAAATTCTATGTATGACTAAAGATAATTTGAAACTTCCTTTGTATTTTTTTGTTCAAGCAACGAATAAAGAATTGTCTAATAAAGAATGATCTTGCTGGCCATGTGCCTGCGACCTGTACAATATTCCATGACAGAAATGCAACAATACCTTAATCAGCAGGCGAGTCATCGGAAATTCATCACACTGTATGCCCCCATGAGTAAAAATCTTGCAGGGAACAACAAAACCACTAGCAAATGCATGTGTTGTGATGCAACAAGTCTGCTGAACCGTTTCAAGGATTCCCTACCTGTCTGCAAGACAGCAGAGAAATTGAATTGATTTTGGCCTATTTTGATTGACACCAAAGGCCTCTCTACAAGGATTCCAACACCATTTATTCCATGTGGTGCCAGTAGAGACCACCAGAACTTGCGGCGATGCTCTCTTCTGGCTTTTCTTAGTTGGTTTAGCTCTTTGCGAATCACACTGCGCACAGATTTTAAGTAAGAATTCATATCATGATCCCTTTGAATGGTTCCTTCAGAACCATATGCTGAGCGATCACTTAGAATTTCAAGTGGGTGCGGCGAGTTTAAGAACACAGATTGTGCAGCTTGGAGGAGCTTCTCTGAATCATTACTGTCAGACAACGGACAGCTTAGAAAATATAGACCACAGCCTGATGGAAGGAGATGATGGTGAGGAGAGAATTTCTCATCTGGTTGCAGAATTAGAAGCTCCCCCATTGGAGCATAAAGTAGCTTCTGCAGTGACAAGGCATGCACATTATAGTTGATATTTTATGGAGAAAACTCCTAAAAAAGATCATGTTTCATTTAAGAGGGAAAGTTACCTGGTTATTAAGACAAGGATGATTCCTGAAGCTCCCATTAACAGCCTTCAGAAGCTCTGCAACATGATTAGGATAATTGCAAGAGAACGCTCGTGGCACAATATCTCTGTGCATTGTAATTGCCTGAACATGGCTTCGGGGCAACTGAAGCTTCCGAAGGAGATAGTCACCACCGCACATGATTGACGGTGCACCAAAAGTTATTACAGGAAGCAAGGATGAAGCTGGCACCTCCCCTCTTATCAGCAACATGAGATTTAAAAGCAGAGACAAGCTCCCACCAAGAGAATGCCCTGTGAAACGGAAGGTTGCACGTCTGCCACAAGACTTCAGATGAGCACGTACTTCAGGCAACATCTGTTCATATATACCTTTTGCAGCCTCATAAATACCTCTGTGCACAAGCACATCCAGTCCCTGTAACGAGAAGACAATAATAATTACATTATGGCATCATGTATTTAAATCTTCAGTTGAATTAATTGTACACAGAATATGGTTTTTATTCAATCTTTCACATGATAATTCTATGTGAAGTCATCATTGAACATTTTGTAATAATACATCACATTTCTGAACTCCTTAGCAGATACTTCAGAAAAGATGAACTAGAATTTGTCTACTTCAAAATGAATTTACCTCAAATTGAACAGGCTCGAAAAGTAGATTTGCTTGCCAAGATGCCAGCGACTCAGATCCCTATACAACAGAAACAAGACACCAACTAAGAATGACCTTATGTACATGAGATAACCGCAATAAACAATAAAATATGATTCAGTTTTCCATTCAAAAATAGTAAGTTTCAGTTTTTGCATATCTAACATATCCAGTACGTCATATCCAAAGTGCACCAATCTGATTATATGGAGATTACATGCCAATGGCCAATTGCCTCATTCCAAACAAGAAATTCAATTCTTCCCAAAATTAATCAACAGCTTACCTGAATCACGAAGAATCTTGTATCCTGGTCGTCATCACATATAAACCATTCACAAGGCGAGGAACGTGTTGAACTCAAATCGTCTGCAACTGCCTGCTTTACTTCTTCCTTTGCTGCAACCACAGCTGTGACAGAGTCAGTGGTCGCCATTAGAGAAGCCACCTCTGAATTCATCACATTCACACTTTGATTGCCTCCATGATCTCCTTCAGCTGAATCCTTATCAGCCTCTACTTTTGAGGATTTGAATGGAAGTATGCTTTTTGTATGAGAATGCAGATAAGAAGCAGCAGAGGCAGCTATCTGATAAGCAGTAGATGCACTTATGCTATGCCTATTATTTTTCCGCTCCATGCCCTCTACCTCCTTTGAGAGCCCTTCCTTGGCTTCTTGATCATCAGCTGACGCCTGAATTTTTTCTGCTTTTGTTGCCAATTCTCTTTTATCTATTGATGAAGTCACAAACTGGAGGCCACGATATTTTAAGAGATTTCCTGCCTGAATTCATCCAAAGCAGAAAAGTTCATCAACCTTAAGTCATTTAGAATAGACTGCAATTAAAACTGACAAATTTTAAAATCAGGAAAACAGACAACATAGAATAAAAAAATTGATATAAGTAACAAATTCATTGAATATAATCCTAAGTTCTTTCCATGCCCAACGACACAATCAGGATGTTGGAAAATTATAACAGAAACATCTGTGAACAATTCAATCAAAATTTGCAGACCAACCAAAAACCTGCCTAATGTGAATACTATTACTTGGTACATTGTTAGCAGATAAGCCAAAGGATATAAAAGATTCACAAATTAGAGAATGTAAATGCATTCATGTTCGGATATGAATGATCCCAAACCATAAATTTTCCCACTAGTTCCTTCCATGGGAGCAGAGAACGGAAAAAAAAGAGAGAGAGAGAACAAAAGAGAGAGAGAGAGAGAGAGAGAGAGAACTTGAAGATCTCAATGTCCAAGCTGTATGATTCAGTCTACTTAACTAAATTCAACTCAGCTACATGATTCAACCTATAACACTCAAATGAACCTTGATCTAATCATGACCTAAGCAAGAGGGACAAAATCTTCCCAGAGATAGCAGGATCCATTATCCCAAAAACCCATGAATAAAATCCAAAACCTCCCTAATCCCTTCTTAATTACCAAAATGTACCCATTTTAATTTTAGCCAGAAACAGCATAGAGTAAAAAGAAAATCAAAGAAAAATAAACTTGATAAAAGAAAGAAAGAGAACAAACGAGCAATTGTTAGTACCTTCATTTTGGGTATGCAATAAGCCAAGTTTCCAAGATACGACATTTGTGCATAGAGCTTCGCTTCAGCTAATGAAGCCTTCCGTAACAACCTTGAAAACGAATCTCTATCAAATTCAATTTCTTTTTCGTCATCATCCTTAACTCTACACACATCGCACTTCTCGTCCTGTTCCTCCTCGTTAGTTGCGGTACCATTCACCATCTCAACATCACCTTCTTTGTTCGACTCTCCACCATCACTGCTCCTCTGTCCCTCCTCCTCCTCCTCCTTCCATAGAGAATTGACATGCAAAATCTTCAAAACCCAGTTACCATTTTGCCCCTCAGATGAGCCCATTGTTCTACTCTCGGATTCTTCCTTAGTACCGCTTATCGTCTCTCCATTATCGACTAAGACGGCTTCGTCTATGGCCATCCCATTATACCTCTTATTTTGACCTCCTCCAGGCCACAAAGACTGTAAAGGGTATCTAAACGAAAACCTCGAAGCCGCTTTCTGAGGCGGCGCTGCAGCCACAGTCGATTTCTCCCGCCCCACCGCACTCACCTGCGATGCGTTTACACGGGCCTCCAGACCCCCTGTAACGGAGATCGACGGAGCTATACCGTGTATTCCTGTTTTTAAATAAATACTATCCATTTCTGTGAAAAAACTTGACAACAATTCTCTGATGTTTCTTTTTGTTGTTTGCTTCCTTGATCTTTATATATATGTGCCTATGGCGAATCGGAGAACGAGTCGAAGGCTATTAAAATAAAGACTAGCGTGCAGCACCGAGGTTTAAGGCGTTTACGTGCACCCACAATCTTTGAATTTTCACCTTGTCGTCTTATTCCTCGTCCTTGTTTCTTGTTCTTGCTCAAAGAAAATCCTAGTGATAGATACAAAGATGAGCAAGAAAGGTGTTAGAATGCGTTTATAAACTAAAACTGATCACCAACCTCAACACACCCTTTTTAACCAATTTTATCAACCGAAAAAACAATCGAATTTATTTTCAATCTTTTCCCGAATTTTCTGTTTGAACCTAAAGTTGGGCCATCTCAGGTGGACCCCGGCTTGAAGATGGGCCCTGATTAGTGATTTAGCTTTGCTGTAACGGTATCGTTTTGAAGTCGATCAAGTGTTGTGCGTACATGTTCAAGGTTCGCGCACATGGGCTGGTTGATTTGATGCTCTGTGTCAGGAACGTGTTTTAGACTACAGTAGCTCTGGTCAGGTTGGAAAGCGCGTCTGTTAATTTGGACCCACGACTCAATCTGAGTTAGAATAGCTACGGGATATCTTTCTGGATTGCCACGTCAGAGGATGCAGATGAGCGAACTGCAAATTGCGTAACACGGCACAGCGAGTGAGTGACGTGGCCTTAAAGATCTCTATTTTCGGGCACCTTCCGTAGATATACGGGAAATTATACGGTGGATATGTAAAATGATAATCTGATTAAAATAAAAATAATAAAAAGTGAGATATGTGAATTAAAATAAAAAATTTAATGATTTTATGCTCGTGCTCTTTTTATCTCTATTTTTACATTTTCAATACATATTTTATTTTTATTGAATAGTGATCTCAACTCATCGGAGCAATGTGATATTATCTAACAGTATTATGGAATTACCGGAAAATACTTGCTTACCACGAAACTAATCCCTTTGGCAGAAAAAAAGAGAGAGAAAAACAAGTAATACCATAACTGCAGACACACAAGAGTTCCTTCCGGTTCCACAAATGTGGCTTCACACGTCTCCATATAATAAGTATTTTACACCTGCCCTCCACTTGCGCCACCTGTGTTTCTTTGCCTATCCCATTTTGTTGGGTTTTTTTTTTTATTATTATTTTCTTTTTTCTTTAAAAGGTATTGGTTGGTTTGTTTGTTTTCCCTGAGATTGGGAAAGGAATAACTAAATTTTTCATATAAAGGTGTTATCAATTTTGTAGTTAAATCTTCTAAAGTTAATAGCTTATATATATATATTTTTTTTTTTTGAAAAATGCATAATGCATGACTTTCAGTTATAAAATGAAGAAAGACAAAGAGGGATTACTATGCATAATGCATGATGTCAAAAAAAAAAAAAAAAAAAAAACCACTTGCGCCACCTGTGGTTTCCTTTGCCTATCCCCATTTTTGTTGGGTTTTTTTTTTTTTATTATGTATTTTCTTTTTTTCTTAAAAGGTATTGGTTGGTTTGGTTTGTTTTCCCTGAGATTGGGAAAGGAATAACTAAATTTTTCATATAAAGGTTGTTAATCCAAATTTTGTAGTTAAATCTTCTAAAAGTTAATAGCTTTATATATATATATTTTTTTTTTTTGAAAAATGCATAATGCATACTTTCAGTTTATAAAATGAAGAAGACAAAGAGGGATTACTATGGCAATAATGCATGATGTCAGAAAAAAAAAAAAAAAAAAAAGGAAAGAAAAAAGAGCCCAATGCCTATTTATGATTGCCTTTAATTATGTGTATAAGGTGGTTTGGAAGTTGGGTTGGGACCCATAAGGGAATGGCGCTCATTTTCAACTACGGATGCAATGCACTCCAGAGGCTTAAGTTTGGGCTGTAGCTAAAAAAAAAAAAAAAAAAAAAAAGGAAAGAAAAAAAGAGCCCATGCCTAATTTTATGATTGCTAATTATGTGTATAAGGTGGTTGGAAGTTGGGTTGGACCATAAGAATGGCCTCATTTTTCAACTACGGATGCAATGCACTCCAGAGGCTTAGTTGGGCTGTAGCTGTTTCCATTAAAGACTTGGTCTTTACTTGGTTTTAATTTTTAAATTATGCTACTTATATTGCTTGAGTCCTTGAATATTACACGTGTTATAAAATCTACTGTATGAAGATTGAAATTCACACTTCTTATTTTTAGTATAAATAAAAATTTATTAGAGCTTTAATATTTTTAATTTTATAAAATTGATTAATTTTCAAATTAAACTATATTGAAATTGATATAACATGAAAAATAAATCTCAGAATGATCGGTTTGATTTACGGTTTTGAGGTCAAAACAGTTAAAATCAAATCAAACCGAATAAAAAATATAAACATTAAAACTCGCCGTGTCGGATCGGATGGAATTGCGTTTTTATGTTTTCGCCGTAGTTGACTGTGTTTGAAAAAACAGAGGGCTGTGCAAACCGACATACGAGTAGCGATAAATTGATAAGAAGAAACTGGAGCCTGAGCTGAGAGTCTTATTTGTATCTTGTGGAGATTCAATTTTTTTTCTTAAAATAAAAACGAAGCATTCGGTTTCAGTTGGATATTGCTTTCAATAATCCAATACATATTTTGGTTTGTACTCTTTCCTGTTGTTCTTTCGTTTTTATTTTCTGTGATTGTTTATCTTATAAAAGAGTGAATTCTTTTCTGTTCTCTACCTTCGCATGCTTGGTGGAATCATTTTTGGTTTAGGATTTTTCCTGATTTTTATTATGCGGTCCTCGTTGGTGATCTTGCTTTATTTAACTTTGGTTGGTTTTTAGTTTGTATTTTTTGGTTCTTCTTAGCTCAACTTGTTGGGAATTGCAGGATTTTTCTAGGTTGTGATTAATTTGGGCATGATTCTTGCTCAATGTGACAAGTTTTTGTAATTGGATAGAGGAGATACTTACCTTTGCTTTGTGCTTTATCCTGTATTTGTGTTTCAATATTGGTTGTTGATGAACTTCAGTTCATTGGACTTTGGATTCTTGTTGCATTTGATAGGCTGGTGACTAGAAATTCATCCCTGTGATAGATATTCAGAGGAAACAATTAGCGCATAGAAGATGAACAACTTATCTGCAGGGCCCTCATCAAAATCAAAAGTTGGAACCTCGCAGCCTTCTGAAACTTCATTTAAGCGAAAGAGAGGAGTCTTTCAGAAAGACTGTAAGTGAATGAATAACTTTTGTGCAAGTTTTCCCTTGGATTTAGAGCTAATTTTTCCTCATATTTTGGATGGATGCTACAGTGCAGCACATGATGTATGGTTTTGGAGATGACCCTAATGTAAGTGATACCATAACTTTGCATATCTTACAATGACAGGGACAATGCCCTCTGCAATTAAAATTTGTCCATTGCAATTTAGTATTATATACCATCGCTACAAGCATAATATCTGTTTCATTTATGTCTTGCGCCTCTTTCTATATCACTCTCTTTTATCTCTGGTCAGCATATCTGCATTATCAATCATCAGAGTTCCATATCAATTAACAGCAACCAAACAGAGTTGAGTTTGCTCCAAGTATCTTGCCAGATTCTTGCTGAAATCTCATGGGAACTCAATTTCAATCTATGTAGTGGGGGAAGTCCATCAATGAGTCATTAGATAATGATTTTGTTTGTTTGTTTATCAAAAATTTTAGATGAGCGCATAAGCATTTGTTGGATGATTATGATCATATAGAATCTTTTTTCCCTTCTCAATCCATTTTTAGTTAATATGGTTCCAAGAAGTACTCGACTCTTGCTTGCACCCGAAGTGATATTGTTAGACATAGATATGCCCATGTACACCTTTAAGATTCCAAATTAGCTGAAAAACCTTTGAAATCTTGAAAAGCAAGTTAACACCGCTGACATATATGCATATTGATCGCTGCTCAAGTCCTAATAATTCTTGCGTTTGGGGTAATATCAAACTCAAGCCAATAGGATGGAATTCTTATTTTTGAGGTAATAACACCAAATCACCAGTACGCTTAGAAGTATATTATCTTTTTATGAGGAGCTTATAAGGCCAACACTTACCTGCTGCAAGCAAATCTCTTATTATTTATCTTTTCTATGATCAACAAGCAATTCTCTCATTATCGCCATTAAACATGTTGGTCAAAATGTTGCCTAGTTTTTGCATGTTAGATTGGTTGGTATATTGTCAATATGCTTATGACTTTTTTTTTTTTTGGGATAATCAGCCTCTTCCAGAAACTGTGGCACTTGTGGAGGATATTGTTGTGGAGTATGTTACTGATTTGGTAAGCAGTCTTTTAGGTTAGTAGGTATGATCACTTCAACCAATGCAGCATTATGGGTGTTTATCTGTCTGCTAACTTTATGCAGGCGCATAAAGCACAAGACATAGGATCAAAAAGGGGAAAGCTCTTAGTTGAGGATTTTCTGTACTTAATTCGCAAGGTATTTTGAACGATGAAGTCTTTTATCTTCACGTTTGCTTCTGAATTTGCTTAAATCTTTTCTTCCTGTTTTACCCTCCAGATTTATGAGTTGTTGAATGTTAGCTACATATGCCAACAGCTTTCCTATTTCAACACTAATAAGTAAACATTGTCTCTATTTTGGTGTATGAAGAAGACGCAAAGGGGAATGGAGTTTTGGGAACCATGATTTGATTAAACCTTGTAGGATCCCCGAATGCTAGCTAAATCTTAATACTTTCACACATCACAACACTAAGATGAGTGCATGAAATTTGTTATTAACAGCTATAATGCAAAAGAGCTCTAATGAATGTCTGCAACTTGGACATCTTTCATTTGTCATCTTCCACATTCAAGTGTTTCTTTTTTGGTTCTTGGTAGATGTATGTTTAGTCTTGCTCTGAACTAGAAATTGATCTCGGTCCTTGCAGGACCTGCCAAAACTTAACCGCTGTACTGAACTTCTATCTATGCAAGAGGAGTTGAAACAAGCAAGGAAAGCTTTTGAAGTGGATGAGGAAAAACTTGCATCAATCGAGTGATGTAGGAGAACATGTCAACTTTGCAACTTAACTTTATATTATTTTATTAGTTACTAGTCTTCGTTTTCACTAGTGGTAAGATTGCCTTGTATTCACAGCCAATGAGGAAATAGTATTTTGAAAAATTGTTTATTTAAAGGTCTCTTTTATTGGCAATCCTCTAAATGAAAGCTCGGATAAATGCATATGACAAATTATTTTCAAGGCCATGAAAACTTTTGTGATGAGCAATCTCCAATTCCCCTTGACATTTGAAATGGAAGTTTTTCTTCTTACCGTCTGCGTATTGCTTGAGCTTTTCAGATCTAGAAGTTGTGGAGCTTGGTTGTAAAATGGGATGTGCTATTGATTTTGATATCCACTTACATTACGTGTGTCAATACCAAATTTGGTTATAGCTAGAGATGCCAACTCCCATGTCAACTAAAACTTGGAAAGTCGAAGCCATGAAGCATGGAACTAGTAATGATTGGCCTCGATGTTGATTGCTAATGGATGCATTTGTCAATACGTCAACTAGGTTCTGCAAGGCATCTTACCGTGTGACCCGTTTCTATGAAGCATCAGGAGTTAAAATATGATACAATATTTAAACAACAGTTTTAGAAGTTGAATTTAAATAACTTACATCAGGAGTATAATTATTATAAATAAATTGATAATACCATGTAACCGAAAAGGCCAAAAAAAAAAAAAAATCTATGTTAATGGACCATTCAATATAGCATTAATTTTGCATGATCAGCCAAAAAGACCAAAACTGGTTGGTTTCTTCTGATTTCAGTTCTTACTGCGCATCAAATGATTGATATTTCCTTAAAAGAAGAACAAGGAAGATATAGCTCAAGTAAGGCTGGAAAAAGAGGTCCAACTTGTATGTTGCTACTTAGCGAGGATGACTGAAAACAAAAGCCTCAACATCTTTATGGATTTCTATATAACCTAATGTTACAATGGGAACATTTTGGAACCCAAGAAAATAATTTAATTCTATACCCTAGCCAAGAATTGCTTTGATCTTCGTCTTTTGATCCTCAGTTAGTGACATGGGAAAAAGAACCTCGTACGTGACATAAAGATCGCCTTTCTTCGTGCTAAAATGCAATGGCATTCCTTCCCCTTTGAACTTTCTAACTTCCTTGGGTTTAGTTATTCCCTGAACATAGCTCACACATGTTATTGTTGTTTCAGACGTTTGCAGTTCATCAAATCATTTATCAGGATAATTATTATAGGTAAGTGAGACAGAAATGTGTGACACTGACCTTTGTGCCGATCTCCACTAAATGTTCGTCAAGGTGTTTAATAGTCTTCTCAAAGCCAACAAGTGCTTGAACCTGTCAAGAATTTTAATAAAGAAATTAACTACATGAAGAATCAAACCTTGCAATACTTGCATAACAAAAACAAAAAGGGAGGTACAATATATGTGCCATGCGAATGAAATTACCAGTGTTATGGTCACAGTTGTGTGCAAGTCATTGCCTTCCCTTCTAAAACGATCATGAGGTGCTGTACGGATCCGGAACTGCCAGAAGTTCGATAAGTGTTAGTATGAAAGTGAATGATGCATATCACCATTAGAAGTGATTATTAAACACTAACCTTCAAATCTCCCGGCTCCCCATCTATTACTGGCTCACCATCTTCATAGAAAACCACCTCCTGCAATGTGCATGGGAACATTATTTTAAAATCTGCAAAAGTCATACGGATGATCCTCACACAATTTTAGGTATTAGTTAAGAAACGCTTCATCATGCAACAAAGGACTTCCACAGTCAGATAGGCAGCAATTGGTTATGGCAATAAACAGGTAATTGAAATGGAGATTCAAATGCATGTAAACCAAAGAAAGAAAAAAACATCAATGTGTTTTTTAAGCATGTTAAATCAGGTGACTGAGCTTACTTGTCCATCTTCCATGCCTTTCTCAATGTCAACTGTGATAAAATATCCCTCCCGCTCAAATTTGACATTTTGGCATTGTTCACAGACCTGAAAGAAAACAACAGAAAACATAATAAATCTAGAAAGAATTAAGAAGCAGCCTCAGAAGTAATAGTGGTTGATGCTATGATGACGGTCAAAGAAACCAACCAAAGCAAAAAGGCCAACCTGCTCGAAGCAATGCAGTGAGTGAAAGCAAGGAGGCAAGAAAATGTTGCAATTCAATTATGTATTTCCATCAACATTTTTGCCTCTTATATTATGAAATGAACAGAGAAGGAGATTCATCAGATTTTCAACAATTTTGTTCAAGCAATGGTATACCTGTTCTGTCATCTGCTGAAACATCCCTGGACCAATTTGCTTATGATAGACTTCATTTCTACAGTTACAGCGTCTTTTACCAGGGGCTGGCTTAATAACATTTTTCTCCCTCCAAACCTGAGAATCCACATAAAGGTAACGCTTATCAATATACCCACAAAAAAAAAAAAGGGGGGGGGGGGGGATCTGCTCGAAAAACATCCCTGGAACCAAATTTGCTTATGAATAAGACTTCATTTTCTACAGTTACAGCGTCTTTTAAAAAAACCAAAGGGGCTGGCTTAATAACATTTTTTCTCTCCCTCCAAACCTGAGAATCCACCATAAAGGTAAACGCTTATCATATACCCACAAAAAAAAAGGGGGGGGGGGGGGGGGGGGGAGAGGGGGGGGGGGGGAGAAGAAAGAAAGAAGTCTCCATTGCAAAATAAATTCCATTTTCTCTAGTGTCACATGGTAGACTAAACAAAAGAACAGCCTGCAAGTTCTGCAATGTATAAGATATATCAAAAAATAACAAAACTAAACAACTGCTACAGTTTTAATCTAAGATTTTATCCTAGAGGCTTAGAACTATACACATTGATCTGTCTGATACCATTCAAAACAAGCTGCTTCAATTTGCTAACAGCTGGTTGGTTAATTGAGGGCTAACCTTGGTGTAAAGGTAAAGTTGCTCCTTCTTGAATCATGATAAAAAACTATGAGCCTCAAGTTGCACAGACAATCTTTTATGTAAAAGCAAGGGGAAGGCTATATTCAATAGATGCCATTTGTCAACTCCTAGAAGACTGGGTAGGCTCATTCGATAGGGATGCCCTTTTCTAAACCTTCCAAATGATAATCCGTTCACACCTCATGCAAAGATAGAATTTCCCTTCCTTTCAATTAATTAACTTGTTTAACTTTTCCAGCTTATTCTTTACCGGTTTTCCTTTTGTGGTGAGATGGTTTGGGATATTAGTGTTCGTCTAAAGATACAGACAAAAGTTCCCATAAAATAGGCTACAACAGATGTTATCTGCTAATAAGAAGTGGGCCTGTGTACAACGAGAAGAATCAAAGTAAATATAACGATCCTCACCTTCAGTGAGCCACCCATGTACAAGTCTTCTAATGTCGCATCCATTTCGACAATTACATCATCACCCTTTACGATTCTCTCTTCCTCCTCCGTTTGACCTCCGCCAAAAAAACTAAAAAATAACATTTAGTTAGATTAAATAATTTTCTACAACCTATCACAATAATTAAAATGCTTGTGCATGCAAAATACGACCTAGGAATTTCTCCAAAGGAAAACATTTTATTCCTAACATTATAAAGGTGAATACACAGCATCTTATCCATATTCCCTCATGTTTTTTTTTTTTTTTTTTTTTTTTATCCTAATCCAGTGCCACTCTGCAAACCGAAACAACTACATCTTATTCCTATATCTCTATATACTACAGATTGTGTATCACCATAGCATACGTATAATCAAACATGTATATCCCTAACAATGTCATTTATCTCTTGGTATATTTATTTCATTGTGATAAACTTGTAGGATAAGATAAGCCCAAATATACTTTTTACCAAACCACAAAAGTCAACAAATCATCCCAACTCATTATAATCTATACAAGTACGATAGGCAATTCAACGATATCGGGAATCTGTACAAGATAGATTAATCTTAATCAATTAATTAATCTGTTAAAGAATTGTGGACCTTTATCAGTATATAAATTATCCACAGTGTCATATTTATGAATATGCATTAATGCTGGATAGGAATCAAGCAAAATTTCATCCGGAAAATTAAATAAAAAATATAAAAAAATAACATAAAAAGTAAAATAATGAAAATTGAATTAGCGTACGACTTAATTCAAGACAAACATGATTAAACTCTTGTGAAAAAGGACGTACTCAGTTCTACCATATGATTCAATCCAACCAAACTATATGCTATCTCTACACCTCTGCCCTTCCGCAGCCAATATGCTGAGTCAACTTATAGTCCTTCACATCTAACCATACGCACTATAAATCATAAAATTTATCCTCTATCTCACTCGTCATGGATAACACCTCATACGCTGACAATTGAAGATAATTAACCAAAATAAATCCATTAGCAAACTCAATCAAATTTATTAATATGAAAGAATAATGATCCTAAAGGTACACACAGAGAAATAATAGAAAGTATCTAAAATATAAAGAAACATATAAAACAGATAGAGTTAATCTTACAAATGGAAAAAGTCAGAGCTAATGTTGCCATCATGTAAACATACCATATAGATCCCGAAGTAAGATCTTATCAAGTTGGGAATTACCTATTTCAATTATCTGCCATAACTGCTGATATAACGCTACTCATTAATCTGATGTCATTTCCCGATAGCTGGCGCTTAAACACAATCTGCTAACATCTATGCAATAAATATCCAGTAGACATACGCTTTCTGCATGCAGAAAATATATATGATATTGCATATTAACACGCTAAATAATAACTCAAGAATCCTACATACATAAAAATATAGGTAAATAATATAAAAAAATATGAGAAAAAAGCATAATCGTAGTAAGGTAAGGTCTGCTTATCACACTGCTGATGTGCTCTCAAGATGATAAACGGGGTTAATGAATCAGCAGTGAACCCGCATAATTGTAAGAGGAACAAGGCAGCTTTGCTCGCTCTGTAAAGAAAAGCGCCCATTTTTGAAGATTATAAAAAATCAGAACGCAGCCAGACGCCATTGGAGCATGGCTCACAATCCCTCAAACAACCTAATAACTACGTGTTTACTCAATGAGAATCTATTCTCTACCCTACTAATTAATTACGATTACATTAATGATATTCCAGCTTTTCCTGTGCTGTCTCTACTATGTGAATCCCCAACACAACCTCCTCCTCTTGAAGTCAGTGTGCTTATGTTCTTGACATGCTATATCTTTAAATTTCAATTCTACGTTGCGTGTGCGGGCTATTGACGTGCTACGCATAGAGGCAAGGCATATAACTTGAAATACTGTGCGAACGGCACCTGTTCATACTTCGCCGCTCCGGGGCGCCAGGGAATGCAGTGGTCATAACAACTGCGGCAAGTATGGGGCTGTAAGGCTCGCGAAAGCTGGGCAACGTAGATTGAGGCGGGTTGGACACCTATGTTAGACTTACTATCTATTGTCATACGTAGTTACTGGTGGATGTAAAAATGAAATTTCAAACCAATTTCCGAGCATACATGCGATGTGTCAACCGGTTGATTCCTATACAAAAATCAGTGATATAGCCACGTAAATAAAATGGTAATTATTCTGCTCTTTGCCAGAAGTATGGTTTTTTTTTTTTTTTTTTTTTCTTGTTTTAGGATTATAAAGAAGCCAAATTTTTACCAGAATCAATCCATCCATTAAATCTGAAGGCATCAACTATCGGAGCTGTACGAAGAATCTAATAATTTCTGTTAAGTTGGAATTATTTTGATTTGAAATATCAGTCTTAGAAATGCATAAGCTGGATAACGCAATTTTCGAAATTAAATAAATAAAAATAACAGTAATGAATTGAAGCACGACTTACTCTCTGAAAAGGTCATTAATGTTCATCCCCATTCCTCCACCTCTCCCTCCGCTAGCCATATGCTGCTTAAGTCCTTCCTCTCCATACTTATCATAAATATTCCTCTTCTCGCCGTCGGATAACACCTCATACGCTGACAATGAGATAATTAACCAAAATAAATCCTCAACTCATCATTATTAATTGAAAGAAATGCCTAGTACACGAAATTGAAGATTATTGACTTACCGTTGTTAATCTCGGCAAATCGCTTGTTAGCCTCTTCATTTCCCGGATTCTTATCAGGGTGATACTTCAATGCCAACTTTCTATACGCTCTCTTGATCTGATCATCCGATGCTGCCTTCGGCACTTGCAATATATCGTAATAGCTTTTTCTGCAGAAATATTATATTAGCATTAGTAATAATAAGACGTACATAATAATAATAATAATAAAAAAAAAAAAGCAAATGTATAGAGAAGGTCGCTTACCCTGCAATGGCGATGATAACGTATGACAGCGCGCATAATAGAAACAACAGCTTTGCTCCTCGAAGAAGCGCCATTGAAGATTAAAATCAGGAGAGAGTTGGATCTCTCCAAATCTCAAAACCTAAAACGATTTGTTATGAGAACTTTTCTCTCCACTAATTACACTTAAATGTTCAGCTTTCGCGTTTCTATATGGAACCAACACTTTCTCTTGTCGTGGCTTTGTTCTTGCCTTTCTAATTTTTCGTTGCGTTCGGCTTTGGGCAGAAACCAGATAACTGAAACTGGAAGCTGTCACGCTGGCCGAGGAGTTAAACACCAAATGGGAAGGGCACCGATGACTTGACCAGAGACTAACTTTTGCAACGTGTTCTTGTTGAAATCAACCAATCACAACACATTTGAGGTTGTTCCAACCAATCAGTATAAGCCACGTAGGTAATCGCTTTGCCGAAGTGTTCCGTAATCTAAACGGTCGTCGTATCTGCTTGATCTGCTATATGGGCTTGATAATGGACCAATCCAACCCACACCATTTTAGGCTACGAGCCTGAGATCGTATTTTGTTTCGAAGCCCGTTTATTGTTTTAGGTAAAGCCCAACATTGGATTTTGAATTCCATCTCTATGCTGCAAGGAAACCTTTCCGTGCGACCGCAACCTTTTCCGGAATCATTTCCATCCATCTAACATAGAGTGGAAACTATTCCGCTCATCAATGAATGACAGACCAAATTTACTGCTTGCACCCAAGAAGAAGCAAAACAGAACAAACTAGAACCCAGAACTATTGTTCATTAATGTGCAGATTATTTAATACGATTTATTCATTCAAATATCAAATTATAAGGGTGAAAAATTATCAAGCTGTTTAGATACCGTTAACTTTTTATAATTAATTCGTGAAAATCCAAGTAAGTTCTGTCCAACTTTATTTTCATAGATTTTAACCTCTTATCAATAATTTATTTAGTATATAAGACTCGTACTCACAAATTATCTTGATGAATTTTATTATCTTACCCAATCATTCACATGTAGTAGAGAAATTATCTTGATGAATTTTATTAATTCCACAAAAGAGGATTAAGGTTTTTCTTTTATCAACTAAAAGGACATGTCATCATCATTATAGCTGTAAGCAAAGCTTATGTTTCGAAATTTGACATTTTTGTTTTTGTATTTCTTGCAATAGTTTCTCTTTTAATTAGATATGTTCTGATACTTCTTTTGCTTGTATCAAATAAATCTCAGTAGAAAAGTAGGTTTTCTGCAGATAATTACTATCTAATTCTTCTCTTATTTAATTACTGTTATATAAAATTTAGAATTTACTGTCACTGTGTTGCAAGCGAAAAAATAGGGACTTAAAGGAGAAAAGTAGGTAAAGTTCAGGGATTTTGGGTTTTTCCAGAAAAAAGACAAAAAGGAAGAATTCTGTGTAATACGAAAAGAGGAGATGTACATGCAAGAACGTGGGAGATGCAACTCCCATCAGGAGCTCTGGACGGTAGAGATGCCACGACTGTTTCGTTTCTTTAGACTCACGTGGCTAAATCAACAGCCACATAGTCCATCAAGGGCTCCACAAAGACCGTACGCTCTGTGTGTGTGTGTGTGTGTATATATACATATATGTGTTATATGTTACTACTAATACACAGACAGTGCTCTATTCTAAATCAACTTACTTTCTACGCACACAGCTACCCTCTTTCAATTTCAAATATATAAAACGACAAAGTTTCGTGTATTACATATCTGAACCTCAGTTGAATAGAGTCAGAAGCAGAGAATGGGAAGGGCACCTTGCTGTGAAAAGGTAGGGCTGAAGAGGGGGCGGTGGACGGCGGAGGAGGATGAGAAATTGACCAAGTATATTGAAGCTAATGGGGAAGGGTCATGGAGATCTCTGCCTAAGAATGCAGGTAATTAACTAAGCTAAAAAGAATTATAATTAATAGTTGCTAAATTAAGTTGTCTCTTTCCTAAAATGTAATGTACCATCTTTTTCCCTTGTGTGTTTGAAAAGGGTTATTGAGATGTGGAAAAAGTTGCAGACTAAGATGGATTAACTATTTGAGAGCTGACTTGAAAAGAGGAAACATTACTCCTCAAGAGGAAGAAATTATTTTCAAGCTACATGCTTCTCTGGGAAATAGGTTAGTAAAACTTACAAGTTTTTTTTTTTTTTTCTTTCTAAGGAGCACATTATTTCTTTTTATTAATTTATCTGTAAAGTATTTAGGTCCGTGTTCATGTCACGAAAACATAACTATTCTTTGTCGGTGTCGGATCAGCCCATAAACAATTAATTATATAAAAGAATGAAAGTTAAAACTCATAATGCCGTTTGATAAAGGACTCCAATGCTGCTAAATTAGTTTTTTTTTTTTTTTTTAAAAAAAAAAGAAAAGAAAAACGTGTACTATAAACATTTTGTCAAGTTTTTCTTTCTCTTCCTTTCTCTTTCTTTCTGTTCTTTTACTTTAATATTCCTGCCCCGCCTCCCAAAATAGTTGGTGCGGTTTGGAAGGGAGCAGCTCATTGATGACAGACTGCCTAGCATTGACAACAGCTTTTTTAATCATTTTCTTGTGAAAGAGTTAATTCTTTTTAACTTGCAGCATGTGATTTACACTCCTTAATTGTCACTGGCTAGTCTTTTTATGCTTGTTAGATTTATTCTTCAGTAGCATAAATGAATATACTTATCTACTAGGTCAATATATGTGTAATAATAAGTGTATATCTAAAAATCTCATGTAAATGTGACATGAAATATACTATTTGTCATTTATCAATACAAATTTGTTATAATATGATGCAACGAAAGATAATTATATTTAATTTAAATATTATTTTTCGTAGTCTAATCATGTGATCGGTATTTAAGCATAAGCTTTTTTTTTATTTATTTCCTTTGTTCTAAATACATAATTTCATATTTGTACCTTTTATTGCAAACTTTTATAGTACTACAAATTTTTTTGATATTTATAATAATCTCAAAACTCAAGATTTTAGTTGTTGAAGTATTAAATAGGCCTAACTTTATGAATTCTAAACTATAGGTTAAAATAAATAAAAATTAAAGGTAATACAAAATTATTCTAAACTACATGTTAAAATAAAAATTAAAGGTAATATAAAATTTTTCATAAAAAAGCGTATATATGTCTATATTATTATGTTTAGCCTACCTATCAGGGGAAAAAGACAATAATAATGAATGAATCTCATCCCTTTCTTACCCATTTACTAATCACTTAACTTACTGATGTCAGTACGTACTACTGGCGTCAGTATTTAAATGTCTGCTCTTTTTTCTGCTGACCGGTGATGACTCTGACTGTCGTTACCGGTCTCTTCCTGCTTTTAGCAGTTGCTGTCAAATTTCATTTAATCTTCACTAGTCATTGACTCATTGTTTTACTGTGTTAAGAAATGTTTTTTTTTTATTATTATTATTATTTAATCACATCTAATGGTAATAATTAATCCATCTGTGTCATTCTTCTTTCGCAGATGGTCTTTGATAGCCAGCCACTTGCCAGGAAGAACAGACAACGAGATAAAGAACTATTGGAATTCTCATTTGAGTAGGAAAGTCCACATCTTTAGGAGACTTGGAAATGAGCGTCTACAGCCGATAATTGATAAAGCTAAGATCAGCCATAGCAATATTGCAAGCAACAGTAAACCAGGAGGTAGTAAAAAAAGTAGATGCTCATTCAAGAATAACAAACGACACGCAAATAATAACAATAACAACAATAATAATAATAACAGTAATAATAAAGAAGCTCCTCCTGCTGCTGCTACTGCTGCTGCTGCTTCTTTGCAACCAATGCCACAAACACCTATCCCACAGACAGACACTTTGATTCTGGACCAGTTAGTAGTAGTAGAAGACAAGGACGAAACGGATCTTGTGAGTTATCCATGTCGAGAATCCATAGAAGGGTTAATTTTGGATTCAAGCAAAGAAAAAAGCATAGAAGCTGAAAAATTATTACAAGAAAATCAGTTAGGGTTTGATGCAGAAATGTTGTTTTGCGATGATGATATTATACAAAACGAGTTGCTGGAAACCCTAACTACGAAGGAGGAGAGGGGAAATGAGATGACTGAGGTTCTGAGTAGTCCAAATTACAAAACTAGTAGTGAAGGAGAATTTGGTAATTCTACTAAGTCATGTAGTGATGACACCTATGATTTATACTCTAGTTCTTCAATGGCTTCATGTTTTGAAGATTACAGGTTTGATTGGAGCTGGGAAGAAATTATGCAAGAAAATAATGTAATATGTTCACTCTGGGACAGTGATAATGACTGCTGGGAAGGAGATGATAAAGGACAGCAAGTGCAGCATATGGGTTATGGCAACATAAATGTGATCGCTAGTTGGCTTCTTTCTTGATTGAATTTGCAGAAAAAGTTGATATCGTTGAGACAATTAATATCTGGGTTTCCATTATTGTTCGCTAAATCCAAGAGGAGCACGTCTTTACTTGTTAGCATAGCAGTACACAATATCTGAGAGTATGTTTTCTTTTTACAGTCTGTAGAAGTGTCAAATGTGTGCAATTGTAGTTTTGTAACGTTAATGTTTGCTGTAGAGAGACTATAATAATAAGAGAGCTTGGTTTAGAGAATGTCCAATGCTAATTATCATATAAAATAAAATATATGAACGGTGATATGGTTGAATGTTTATTTATAAATATTGAATTTTTTAAAATCTCCTCAATATATTACTTTTGAATTTTCTTTCATCTTTTTTTTCCGGCCACAATTCAATATGTAACAAATCATTAAAGATTTCTCATGTGGCTCTCCAAATTAACGAAATTTTTATGGTCGAAATGATTTAAATTTGAAATTTTCACTTTTTACATAAATGAGAAGACTGATATTAAATTATACGCATTGTGTATCACATTAATTTGATGTATTGATTAGTCAATTCATTATGTTATAAGAAGTCTGTAGAAGAGAGAGAAAAGACATACGTTTGGGAAAATGATTGATTTATTTTTCATCATCGATCTCTCACTCTCAATACATACACATATTAATTGGGATATTAATTAAATAGAACTAAATTATTTATTACAGTAGTATTATTATATGGGACGTCAATTAATAAAATTCAATTTCAAGCTTGATGTATATAAATGTTAATGTGTGGCTTGTGTCTCTTTTCACATTTTTTATGAGTATTCAATATATAAATTCACTCTTATACTTTTCACGGAAAATTTTGTACTCTCAATTTTTACTTTAATATATTGAGTACTTCAATTTATAAAGCTGGACTTATTAAACACTTCATTTGACCTATTAAACATTTCAACTTGTAAAATTAGATCGAAACCTCTATTTAATAGTTAAAAATTTATTGTTGCAAAAGTTGCATTAATCATTATAAAACCAAAACTAGTAAAAATTATTACTTTTGTTATAAAAAACTGTAAGATTATTACAAAAAGTAAAATTTAAAATATTATAAGATCGGTTCTAAAGTTTAGAATTTTTTTTATAAAAATTCAAGAATTAATTATATATGCTATGTGAAATATTAAAAAGTATATATGTAGTTCCATACATACATTAATTCCTTCACCTACATTTTAAATATCTCAACGACCTGCAACAATTCACGTTGCAAATTTGCACCTAAGAGTCTGGAAGCCAGCGTACACAGTGACGTATCATCATCCAAGACTTTTTTTTTTTTCTAATTAATTATTTTAAAACACATTATTATTTCTTTCCTAAAAAAAACATTATCATTTCTATTGATAATGTATTCGATATTTACTGTTATTATTATAAATCAATGAAATTAAACCCTGATTAATTTTCTTTAAGTTTTATTAATTAAATTAACCTTATTTTAATATTAAAAGAGAAAAATCTAAATTTAAATATATTATTAAATCATATATGCATTATTTAGCTATTTAGAAAAAAAAGCATGGTCTTTTTATTTGAATGCGACATGTGGTATACTACATATAGCAAAATAATTGACTCTTGCTACTTTCATACAATAAAAAAAATAACAAGTCAATGCTCTTAATTTAATTACGTGACAGTAATTAATGAAAACGAACTTCCTTTCAAATAATAATAATAATAATAATGATGATGAAAACGAACTAATGGTTCTGTCATTCATAAATCATAAAGGTCGCGTGCGTTTTGCAACCGGTCGGGATTGCCAGTATGTGCCGTCCATAGGCAACCTGGCCTAGCCACTCATGAAGAGAGCGCACTGGCTAGAAATGTGATATAAGTACCATATTACTAAGATAATAGGACAAATAAATTAAATAAAACCTACTTATATTAGAAGCTGAGCTAATCACCATACAACTGGTTCTTCGTTTCTTTGGATATTTTAGTGGACACGTTGACAACACTTTTGTGAAAGCGTATGAAGATTTTCATTTTATTTTATTTTTCGTAATGTCGCAATTTTATTTATGTATGATTGTTGCATATGAAAAAATATACAAATTTTCTTTCCACAACTTATATAAATGTAGGCTCCACGTAATTTAAGAAGAATGTATACCCAATTTTTATTCAAATAATCAGAAAATTAAATTCTTGGAGTATACATTTTGCTCCAAAAATTTATTAGCTAACAAAATTCCAACCAAGGGAAACATTTTGGTGAGGAAATGACCACTTCTCCCAATTAGCGACCACATAAATCATATGTAAGCATACCTGCCTTCAGGACGAGAACAAATATGAAAAAGCATCTAATTGATTTTTTAAGATTTCTGCATTTAAATCATTAAATGAACGTCTATGAACAATCCCAATCGAGTGAGGGAAAACATACATCTAGAAATATTCACAGGACCAAGAGATTCGTTAGTTCTTAGATGATGATTTATATGGAGCCATTTGGCTCCGTGCAGTTTTCATTCGGATTTAATTTCCTCATATATAGGTATATATATATATATATATATTCACCCGACAAATGCGAAAAAAGTGCAAAAAATTTTGATATCTTAAAAAAAATCAAGCTAAAAAAATATGTAAAAGAAAATTCCAAAACCATCATTGTCTAGACAAAATAATTTATACCAGACTCTTCGTTTTCCTCCTACGACAACTGAAAATTGTAACATAGAGTAATTTAGTCTTTTTCTTCTTAAATATTAGCGTATTTTAGTCTTTTTTTTTAAAGGTTATAATGGAAAATCTGGAAAAAATGAGCCAAATAGTTTGACATAGATAAATCTCGGAGATCATTAATTAATATTGTTAAACTGAAAAAATAGCTTAGTTAGTTTGGTCAAACTTCAAAGATGAATTAATTATTTACCCTTGTTAACTTTCAGGATATTTTAGTCTTTTTTAAAGGTTTTAAGGGAAAAATTTAGAGAAAATAGTTGAAAGGACTAAATGGTTTGATAGAGTTACACCTTGGAAACCGTTAATTAATATTATCAAAGTGCTGAATGACTTAGTTAGTTTAATCAAGCCTCGGACATAAGTTAATTATTTTCCCTTAAAAAATTAGGTTCCACAATTGACCTTGGGTTACTTGGCCCAAGCACAATCAATTTCCCATACGACGCCGCATAGAGGAAAGGAAAACAAACATTAACCGTCCCCTTCTCCTATCTCGATCTCACCGTCTCTGCCCTGGACCTTCTTTCTTTATCAAATCTTGTTCTTTCTCTCTTAATTAATTTTTTTTTTTTTTTGTCTATTGAAGAATCTGCAGTATCTAGGAGCGGTAACCGGCCAATAATAGTAGAAGCAAGAAAAGTTGTAGATGTTTTAGATTCATTGTCTAGGTGCAAGAAATGAGTTTTGGGTTGATGAAAAACACATTCACAGCGGCAATTGGCAACAAAGAAATCGATACCATATTTAACACGAAAACAGAATTTGAAGCATAAGTTGCTCTTTTTGCGGCCATGATTTTGGATAGCAAGATCAGGTATGTGTGTTTGTTTGTTCTAATATGTTGTTTTTTGGAACCCATTTTATATTTTCCTCTTCTTGTTTGATGAATTGTTTCTTTCTCTTCAGAATGTTTGTGTCCTTAGATATTCGATTAGTTTCTTGGACCATAGAATCCTGGATTCTAATTAGCTGATGCAGTATACAAAGCCTTGAAAATGGATAAAGAATGCTTAGGGCTTGCATTAGAGAATAGCTACTTTGTTAATTAATTAGATCCCTTTGCGATTACACTCAATTAATATTTCTGGGTGCATGCCACTGCTTTCATATTTGTGGATGCGGGCTGCAGAGAGTAGGCTTTGAGCGAGAGCAGAGAAGAGTAAAGACCGAAGAGAAGGGGACACGGAAATTTTTATTTCTCTGGTTATGCGGTGTCGTTTTGATAGAACTAAATTTGGGTTAGCTAAGTTATGGGGTCCACATTTATACTTTTTTATTCTGATATCTAAAAACACCCTTTAAAACCCTAGACAAAACACCTTCTTTTATTCGAATTGAATCCTCCGCTCTCTGTTTTCCATCTCTGTTTCAAATGAGAAGATATCAACTTCCATGTGGGTTTTATCTACCAGGTTACTCTCTAATTTCAATACAAAACTACTCAGTATTAAGCACAACTCCGTTGCAGTCTTTCACTTCAAACGCAAATTCCTGTCAACGCTTGCCCACTTGACCGCCGCCACCACCACCACTAACGATGGCGTCACTGAACCAAAATGGCAGCAACAACAGCTACTACAATTAGATGCTTTTCAGGTTGCTGATATCTTATATAGCCTTAAAAAACTACCTCATCAAGCGTTCTCTTTCTTTTGCCAATTGAAAGACTTAGGCTTTAAACATGATGTCTCTACTTATGCTGCCATTATTAGAATTCTTTGTGATGGAGGTCTTCAAAAGAACCTCCATTTAATTTTCCTGGATCTTATTTTGTTTTCTAGCAATGACAGTGACAGTTCTTTTGATATTTCATGCTTGCTTGATACGCTTTGCAATAGCGGTGCTGATGATGCTAAGCAACACTCTTTGTTTCTATTTAAAGTATATGATGCGGTGGTTAAGTCATATGTTAGTGCTGGTATGTTTGATGAGGCTACTGATGCATTGTTTCAGACGGGAAGGCGTGGATTCGTGCCTAGAATATTTACCTGTAATTTCCTTATGAATAGACTGATTGAGAATAGGAAATTCGATATGGCACTTGCCATTTTTCAACAGTTGAAGAGGTTGGGTTTGAGCCCTAATGATTATACCTATGCTATTGTAATAAGGGCTCTTTGTATGAAGGGTAGTTTGGAAGAGGCTATGTATGTACTTAAGGATATGGAGCAGCATGGTGCGACTTCCAATGCTTTAGCTTATACGGCTTATATAGAAGGACTTTGTGTGAATCAGAAATCCGAATTGGGCTATCAGGTGCTTAAAGCATGGAAAGCAGCTAACGTCCCTATAGATGAGTATGCTTATACTGTTGCAATTCGTGGGTTTTGCAATGAGATGAAATTGGACAAAGCTGAAAGTGTCTTGCTTGAAATGGAAAAAGAAGGTGTGGTTCCTGATATGCATTCCTACAGTGAACTGATTCGTGGGTTTTGTAAAGATAGGAATTTGCTAAAAGCATATGCTATCCTCGATGACATGATATCTAAGAATATCAAAATAAATTGTGAGGTTATTGGATCAATTCTTCACTCCTTGTCTGAAATGGGCATGCATCTTGAAGTGGTGGATCAATTTAATCAATTTAAGGACTTAGGCATATTTATAGATGAGGTTTCGTACAACATTGTAGTTGATGCTTTGTGCAAACTTGGGAAACTAGAAAAAGCTGTAGCATTGCTAGATGAAATGAAGGGCCAGCAAATGGATATGGATATTATGCATTATACAACTCTAATTAACGGTTATTGTTGCCAAGGAAATTTGGATGATGCTTTTAGGGTATTTGAAGAAATGAGAGAAATGGGTATTGAGCCAGATATTGTCACTTACACTGTACTTGCTAGTGGATTTTGTAGACAAGGCCATGCAATTCAGGCATTTTACCTTTTGGATTTTATGGAGACACAGAATCTGAAACCTAATGCTGTTATGCACAATGTTATAGTTGAAAGTTTGTGTATTGGAGGCAAAGTGAAAGAAGCTGAAGAATTTTTCAATAGCATAGAGGATAAAAATTTAGATACTTATGCTGCTATGATAAATGGATTCTGTAAGGCTAACCATACTACTGAGGCTTTTGAACTTTTCTTTAAACTTTCAAGACAGGGAAATTTAGTTAAGAGAAGTTGCTGCTATAATCTTCTAAAAAACCTGTGTGAGGAAGGGGATAATGTCAAAATCCTTATGTTGCTAGAAACAATGTTGGCTCTCAAACAGGAACCCAGCAATGTCATGTTTGGTAAAATAATTGCTGCTTTATGTCAGGCTGGAGATGTGAGAAAGGCACAATCAGTTTATGACATTTTATCCAGGAGAGGGTTGATCCCTGATATCATTACCTACACAATAATGATAAATAGTTACTGCAGGATGAATTGCTTACAGGAAGCCCATGATCTTTTCCGTGATATGAGAAAAAGAGGAATTAAACCTGATTTAGTTACTTTCACAGTTTTGCTTGATGCTCACCAAAAAGCACATATAAGGATGGTAGGTTCCTCAGAAAGTCAAAAGGAAGGCAATGAAAATGCATTTGATGCTTCAATTGTTTTGACACAAATGAAGAATATGGGGATCAAGCTGGATACTGTTTGTTATACAGTTTTGATTGATGGACGTTGCAAGGCAAATAACCTTGAGGATGCCATATGCCTATTTGATCAAATGATAGATGAAGGACTACAACCTGATACAGTAACATACACGGCTCTTCTATCTGGTTGTTTTAGTAGGGGAGATGTGGATAGGGCTGACAACTTGCTTAATCAAATGTCTGAGAAAGGGATTTTTCCTGATGCTTGTACGATGTCTATTTTAGAGCGTGGTATTTTAAAAGCCAGGAAGGTGCAGTTTCAGAAGGACTTTAAATAATGGTGGCTGGTATAGAACCTAAAACTTGTGAATTACCAAAACAGATATCAGAAGTACAGGTTGCATCCATCGTGCGTGCATTTGGCAGTCTGCAAATATTTTGATGGAGATTAAACGCCATTGTTTTCTTCTGTAGATACTTGTGGGGTAACTAAGTCCATTAAATCCAGGTGAAAAATCTGTCTGTAAGTCCAATATCTGTATGTTTTTCTCCTTCATTCAAAAATTTCTTCATTTGTATTGCCTATGGTTTCAAGTGAAACCACTTCATAGACATTTCACTGCCAGAATATGTTTATAGAACTTAAACTCCTTCCTTAAAATGTGTAGAGATCCATGATAAGACTATCAATATCCAATCCTGTGCAATCTGTGTTTCTCTGCATTCAAGTTTTGAGCATTCTGACATTTTGAGATACGTATTTCTACATTTTACTTTTGTATTTCACTATATAATTTGAAATCAAATGCAGGATTGATATTAAAGATAAATGCTCCTAGGACTATGATTTAGTGGACCATCACTATGTAAAGGTCTTTGCAGTCTATCGCTTCGCATTACAAATTACATTTATTCCATTATAACTAGATGGCTATTTGCTGACGTTGCACGTCATGAAACCAGTTAACATCCATTCTAATTTTACTAAGTATATTTCATATCCAGATAACTTTATGACATAAGCATCAAATGCTAGCCCTTCACATAAATGATTCAAATTGCATGGCATGGTGTAGGGTTGCTGTGCGTATTGGTTGAAACAGCCTCTTTACTTTCCTGGTGCAAGTTATGGTCTCCAAGATAACCACAAAGATGCTTTTGTATCTTCATTCTTGATGATCAATGATCACTCAATTAATGGTTAGTGAGGATACATGAAAAATGATAGTATTTCTATGATTTACAGAAAATAAATTAGCTGATCCAGACAACACGCTGCCCTTTTCTTTACTTATATTTTTACTCTTTTTCCAGGAGTGAAGAAGACATTTGAGGAATATTGATAATGCTAATATCACATCTTCAATGCTATGCTTCCAAGTAGGTTTATAGAACTCCTCTTTCTTCTCCATCTTTGGTCTTTTTTTGGGGGGAAGGGTGTATTTGTGGTATTGAAATTGGGTGAAAAAAATAATATGGTATTCTAGGGAGTGCCACCTAGCACATAGGAGATTGCCTTTTCTGTGGTGTGGAATGTCAGGTTATGAGATTGTTCTGGTTTCTGAGGTGGCTTAATTTCCATATCTATCACTTTTACTTGCTTTAGCACAATCACTGAAAAAGAAGATTCTTGTACCACTAAAATTTAGAGATAAGTCCAATTATTATAGCCTATTATTATTGTTGAAAATAAATTTCGTTATGGTGGAAAACAGAGATCAATTTGGAGATGATGTCTTAGCAATATTTTCTTAGTTTACTGTCTATTCTGCTTATCTGGTGTTTGCAGTTCATTTCTTGAGTTTGTTTTCTGAACACTTTATGGTCTAGATTTACAGCATTTTTGTTTTTTTAATTTTGGTTTTTGGTGCTTCACATTCCACCCTCTACTACTATGATGGGTGTTTGTTTTCTTTCTTTCTTTTTTTATTTTTTTTATTTTTTTTATTTTTAATTCATTACTTGCCAAACTATGAGAATTTTTCATAAATACTTTTCATTTACTGGTTACTTAATCCATATTGCTACATTAGTTGATTTATTTTGTTTTTAATTCTAGGGGATCTCTCAAGGAGCGCCCTTAATATGGATCTCCATTTGTCAATTGGAATTTGACTACACTTCTTTGTAAGTAGCATCATTCCCTTCAAGTTAAATTATCTTTCCTTGTTGGTATCTTGTTGCATCAAATCTAATATTTGTTGCTGGGAGATGATCCCAAATAAACAGTTATGGGTTTGTAAACGACAATTGAGTTGAATTTTGTAGAAACATTGATTTATACAATTCCTTTCAATTTTATTGAATATTTTTGAAGATATTTGTCATAAAAACAATTTTATGGCTGGGCCTGGCTCAATCCTTCGGATGTCATGGTCATCTCATTTCAGGAATCTTGAAAACAGTAACTGTCCTGCTCTTCGTGTTAAATGAATTACGAGTCCTTTGAGAAATGACAGGCTACTTCAAATAACATGGAAAAAACATCGTAAATGAAATGGAAGCTAATGGAATGTGTTGTTTAAAGTAATAAATTGAAGAATCAACATCCAGTTGTTGCAGTTTGTTTTAAGAAGCAGATTTTCAGAAACTGTAAACCAGTAAATGGGGCAAAGTTGCTTTTTGTTGTTTCTCTCTATTGGGAAATTGTCAGGTAGCAGTTTTCAGTTCTGAACGGTGATATTCAATTTCCTTGATTGAGATGCCGAAAACCTAGTTTATAGATTATATGTGAAATGTAAAATATTATTTATAATTATATGATATTTAAATATTTTGATTATATTCGTGAAGCATTTGAATTGAAAATCATAATATTCAAACTTCATTCAACCCATTATTCAAATTATTCGAGTTTCATCTTGATTTAAAATAAGTTAAATTTATATAAAGAGAGTCGAGAAATTTAAGTATAGCTTGATTCTTTTTTTTTTTTTTTTTTACTAGCTTGATTTCTTTTTTTTTTTTTTTTTTGAAGAGATTTTTTTTTTTTTTTTTTGAAGAGAATAGCTTGATTCATTTTATTCTTATACCAAATTTATTATTTAATAAATAAATTAATTAATTTTTAACACGTGATTAATTAAATTGCGTACTGCTTAGAGGAGTAGTCCAGTTTCAACACCGCCATATATTGATTTAATAGCTGTTAATTTCAGGAAGTAACGCCCAACCAATGGTGTGAAGAACAACTACCTTTAAAAGCTGTTGCAGAAACTAATATGATTCGTAATCATAACAACTCAAGTTCGAATTGTCCAGTTTTAGTGGCCCAGTAGTCATCGTTTGATCCGACCCAAAAAAACAAATTTAAGATATTTTTTTAAATAAAAAAGCATTGAGGGACGTGGACTCTCACCGATAGCCACATCATCATAAAAACGTCACTCAGCAACGACACGGAAGACCACTGACCTCCACGCGCAAAAGCACACCAAAAATTACGAATTCTGACAAATCAGATTACGCCGCGTAGACACATCGACGGTAGAGCCCATAGTAAATAATAGAGGCGTCCTCACCGTAACTTGTCTCATCTCTCGTCTAGAAATTCGACTTTTGATTTTTTTAGCGGAGAAAGAAAAAGAGAGAAACAGAGTGTGGAAAGAAGAGGAAAAGAAAGTAATGGAGAAGTACACGCAGATCTGGTTAGCTTTGGGGACCTTAGCCTTGTTTGCCGTATCAGCTCTAGCAGACGACGTCCTTGTGCTCACAGAAGATAACTTCGAGAAGGAAGTTGGTCAAGACAGAGGCGCTCTTGTCGAATTCTATGCTCCTTGGTAAAATTTTTATCACTCATTCTTACAAATCTTTGTTCTGATTTTGGTTTCCATAGCCGATTTCACTTGTTGAATACAAGTTAAGATTGATGGTTTCACATGCCGATCAGCTACCTTAGTTAATTGATCTATAGATCTGTTTAACCTTGCTAGTCAATGACTGCGAAACTTCTTTAGCTAGTTTGTATTTGATTTTACTTTTAGTTATGAGCCCGTATGCATTTGATATCATCATTTCATGAAGGGATACTAATAGAAATGGAATTATGAGATCGTTTCCTGAGCTGTCTAAGCTGATTTATGCCTTGAGATTAAGTAATTCAGGGAAATTATGAGATAAACAATTTTCAATTTTAATGGGTCATGTTCAACTTTAGGATTGTAGTATATATGAGAAAACGTTTTTTTTTTTTTTTTTTTTTTTTATGCCTTTTGAGATTAGAGAAGTTAAATTCAGAAGGAAATTATGTGAGATAAACCAATTTTTCAATTTTAATGAGGTTATCTGTTCAAACTTTAGGGACTGTAAGGTTTATATATGAGAAAACGTTTTTTTTTTTTTTTTTTTTTGTGCGTTTTAGCCTATAGGAAGTTGTTCAAGGCTTTAAGTTGTGGACATGGTCGTTGAGATTTTTGCCACTGCCATTATGAGTTTGAAATGATTTCTGTGTCTTTATTTTGTTACAATCTTTTGTTGCGAGAATTGAGGATTTCTTAAATGTGCTACTAAGTTCCTGATAAGTCGTGGGACTGTGTGATTATTTGGAACCAACGGTTCCGCCAGTGTTCGTTAAACAGGCGCCCGTCAAAAGCAAAATGGAGGGCATGAGATAAGGGTAAAGCGGTGATACAGCATAACAAAGAACTAGGTATTGAAAACTTGGATACAAAAAAGTTTTTTTTTTTTTTTTTTGTGCGTTTTAAGACCTATAGGAAGTTGTTTCAAGGCTTTAAGTGGACATTTTGTGAGATTTTTGCCATGCCATTTGAGTTTGAATGATGTCTTTATTTGTACATCTTTGTTGCGAGAATGAGGATTCTTAAATGTGCTACTAAGTTCCTGATAAGTGTGGACTGTATTTGGACAACGTTCGATGTAACAGGTGTGGACATTGTAAAAAGCTCGCTCCTGAGTATGAGAAACTTGGATCAAGCTTTAAGAAGTCAAAGTCTGTTTTGATTGGAAAAGTAAGCTCTTTATTATTGATACTTAATGATTGTTTTTATCTTGTGTTGTGTAAATGTACTATTCCCTTTATAAGTGCTTATGCAAACATTGTTATCATATTTACTAATTTGGCACGTTATTATCTGCTAATTTGGCACAATCTTGATGCATGTAGGTGGACTGTGATGAGCACAAGAGCCTATGCAGTAAATATGGGGTGTCTGGATACCCAACAATTCAATGGTTTCCTAAAGGATCTCTGGAGCCCAAAAAGTGAGAATAACTAAACTACATAATAGCAGAAAGAATATGGGGATGCTTCAATTATTTGTCTTTCTTTTTAGTTATATTGACTATATGAAAAGTGATAAACATGATTCTATGGTATTGATAGGTATGAAGGGCCACGTACTGCAGAATCACTTGCTGAGTTTGTGAATAATGAAGGAGGTAATGATCTTTGCTTTTCAAAAATAAGTTAATAAGAGGAAATTTATATTTTGTGGACTTGTTTATTTGTTATTGTGATCACTGGAGCATTTGTTGTCTAGATAACTTAGATGTTATGCAATTAAATCCCTCTTTCTGTAAGAGTGCAGAGAGTTGAGTTGGAGGTGAGGCCTTCTATGGCTTCTTGTTCTTCATCTTTTTCAGGTGTCTTCTTTTGTTTCTTAATTGCATGAAATCCCCTTCATTCAATGGTATTGTGATGCTTGGCCAGAATTTCTTCAGATAATGTGCTTCCCAGGGGCTATTCTCTGTTCCCTCTAAGCTGATTATATCTAAGAAAAAACTGGTGGATATCTTCCAATTTCATGCTTCACCATTATTGTATTGCAGTTTAAGGCTATCTGCTTAAAATACTTGTATACTGGAAGAAAAAAGTAAATTATAAGTGCCTGATCAGATCATATATACTCTTTACAGGGACCAATGTGAAGATAGCTGCAGTCCCATCCAATGTTGTGGTGCTGACAGCTGATAATTTTGATGAGGTTGTCTTGGATGAAACCAAGGATGTATTGGTGGAGTTTTATGCACCATGGTAAGCATGTCTGGCCTTTTATATATTGACAACTCGGATAAGTGAAATATCATGGCTTTTAGTAGCTTCTAATTATTTCTCAATTCTCATGTCATCTTAATTTGGTGGTGTCTTTTGTTGATTGATTTTTGAACTTTGCTTCTTCCAGGTGTGGCCATTGCAAGAGTCTTGCTCCCGTACGTGATACATCCCCCATCCACATACTCGTATCATATTTTTGTGTTGATATCTTACACAAGCAATGACCTGAAATCTTGTTTTGTATTGGCAGACATATGAAAAGGTGGCCACAGCATTTAAATTGGAGGAAGATGTAGTTATTGCCAATCTAGATGCTGACAAATATAGGGATATAGCTGAAAAGTAAGGGACACGTAGTTTATGATCTAATGTATCTAATGCTAGGGTTATCAACATCAATTGTTCATTGGAACAGTGTTAATTGTCTATATATTATGTGCAGGTATGGAGTAAGTGGGTACCCAACACTGAAATTCTTTCCAAAAGGCAACAAAGCTGGGGAAGACTATGAGGCTGGGAGAGACTTAGAAGACTTTGTCAGTTTCATTAATGAAAAGAGTGGAACCAGTCGCGATGGAAAAGGACAACTTACCTCAAAGGTTAGTTATTGCATTAGACACTGGAAGTTCAACTTTTTCTTTTTGTTTGCTTAAATTATTTAAGTTTCTAATGACAGGCTGGCATAGTTGAATCATTGGATGCTTTGGTGAAAGAGTTTGTAGCAGCTGGTAATGATGAAAAGAAACCAGTGTTTTCCCGAATAGAAGAGGAAGTTGAGAAATTAGAGGGTTCCAGTGCAAGGTAGTAACTAATGGTGTGGGCTGTTCTGTTCAAGCTTTGTATTGAACTATGTGGCTTCCTCACTGCTTATTCTTATGATGTCTAAAAATTTTGTTAAACTATTGTTAAAAACTATAGTAGATCGAGCGCTCAACCTTTCATATCAAATATCTTATTAACCTAGTGTATGACCATATTCCCCTGTTTCTTTTAGGCATGGAAAGATTTACTTGAAAGTTGCTAAGAGCTGTATGGCTAAAGGTTCTGATTATGCCAAGAAGGAAATTGAGCGGCTGCACCGCATACTTGAAAAGGTAACATTATTAGGACTAATTTCTCAGTTGAGTTGTATTGGTTTAAATAATTATCCTTCTAGCATTTTGAGATATCAACATTGAGGCAAAAATTCTCCAATCGAGCTCAGAAATAGTTGTACAATACTTTTTGATGAATTCTATCCAATATATAGTGTTTTTTTTATTATTATCATGGACTGAAGCAAATATGTATTGAATATGTATAATTTTGCTGATTGATTGCTTTGCCCTTTTTGATTTGCTTGATTAATTGTGCAGTCAATCAGCCCAGCAAAGGCGGATGAGCTCACCCTCAAGAAGAATATCTTGGCGACATTTGCTTGATCTTATGATCTTCCAGTTTTCTGGGGTTTGGTTCCCCCAATAGCCTCTCTTCGATCGTCCATCATTTACTTCGAAATTCTTGTAGCAAGGCTTCTTCACACAGTAAACAGCATTTTGAGAACCTCAACTAGCTAGTGCATTTATTTTATATTGCCTTATTTAATCTGTGCACTGTACTTTTTTTAACAAAATGACCAGATATTCGATTTTCGAGATAAACTCCACGATATTTCACGAGCCTTTTCCTAACCCGGCCCTTCGTATTACTGTCCAATCGACTCTCTGCTTGCTGCTTACTTTTTTGGTGCGTATTTCTTTGTGCCGACAGATAAAATGTTGCTAGTGCATATGATGATTATAGAATCGAGATAAGAAACATGGTCAATGAAATTACTGTTCTGATTAATAACACATTAAAAGTAAATGATCATTGCATTTGTATTTTCAGTTCGTCCTGTAATAACTTCCATTGACATTCGCATTGATGAGGCAGAAACTAGAACGGCAAAAACCGTGGTAGACAAAGTTGTGGTGATAATGAAATTTCATGCAACGAACTTCCATTAACACATTCTCACTGATGAGGTAGAAAGTGAAACAACAAAAGCCATAGTAGACACCGGATAAAACAAATTGGTGCTCATTCCCCTAAAAACACAATGGCAAAACAGAATCTTCCACGGGCACCTAGAATCTATTCTATTACAAAGACGGGAAAAAGGATCGAACAGAAACAACAAGAAGGTAAAACACAACTGCTGAATCTACTGTTTGCATATGCTTGGGTATGACAAAAAGAATAACACTGAACAGTATACATTGCTTATTTACAAATTACAACTTCGCTAACCTAAACTTAGTCGGAGCTCATCAACATCACAAGATTGACCAACTAGCAAGCTACAGTGTATGGTAAGATCCGGATAACCTTTTTGGGTCAATGAAACCGTCTAGGTATGCAACGCACAAGCATTCTCTCCATGCAGTAAAGACAATGACCTTATACAAAACTCACAAATATGGGTGAATTCAATGGACAAAAAAAATCTGTTACGGATGGCAAAAGCAAAGTCTTACAAGATGTGGTCAGCAAGTATGATAGGTGGATCCAATGTGTGTTTAACTCCCAGTTTCATCCCCTTTTATATTCATATTCAACACTCTGCATGATTTTCCACCATTAAATTCAGGTTCTGATGCACTCATCGAAGAACAGTCATCAATCTGATAATCTCTGTCATCAACCAAGGACTTCATATATGAGCATGGTCGCTCTTCAGCTTCCATATTAGATACAGGCTCCTGCCCTGAACCAAAAGGCAATTCAAATGATGATGATCCAAGAGGTTGTGTCCTCATCTGCACAGATCGCAAGAGTGCAGCCCTCCTCAAGTCAGCTGAGTGGCAAATATCACTAGGTGATGATGGGAACCGACCCTCAGAATCTGAACCTCGTTGGCGAGGTTGTGAGCAAGTGACGCTATTGACAGTGCAGCCATGTGCTGGATATGAGCTGGTAGAAGGAGCACAAGAGAATCCACCAAATGGTCTTTGGTACCTATAGGGAGAGACTGGACTTGTGGGCAGACTATCAGGCTGGGATGAGCAAATATTTGTGGGGGTCTCGCAAAACCTAGAATCTTCAGAGTCTTCTGACATTGGTGAATACTGCAAGGACATTTCGTCCCTGAAATGTAAAATTTAAGGAAACATAACGAGTGTGAGGGATCAAACAAAAACAGTGAGCTTTCCAATAACTAAAATGACAATGAACTATTTACCAATGTTTTTAATACAATATAATGCCACAAAAATTATATAGAACAAGCATTTCTACATAAAAGAATTATGCGTAGTGTTTGCAATCGACGACAAAACTATGACAGAAAACTGCACCCATGTATAAGCACACTACAAAAAAAGAAAAGGAGACTTTGCAACATGATATAATTTTTTCAGATTAATAGAGTTTCAAATGACACTTTCTATAACTTCACATATTTCCTAAAAATAGTTCATACCACAATAATTTTCCCACTGAAGAGCTGCCAAAAGAATGGGTTCTGGAAAAATCACAGGAAAGAACTCTTGTATAACAAAGTGAAGTTAATATCATGATAAGCCATCATTATCGTATCAGTTCTAAAGCCAAAACAATTCCATAGTAGTCACATTCATTCAAATGAAATTTTGGCAAAGGCTAGGAACCAGCATGAAGCGATATACTGAGGGCAACAATTACAGAACAAAGCAGGAATTTAGCAAATGTTTTTCAAATATTATGCCGTTCATGAATCAACATTACCTAGATAAGCAGACCTTATTAGCAAATTATATTTCATACTGCACATAGGATGACATATAGAAGTACAGTGAATGTCTATGGGCCTGAGTTAATGAGGTTCCAAAACAAGAAAAATAAGCTGCTAAGGCTTACTCCTTATACTTCCTAAAGGCAACAATGATGAAAAGTAAATGCAGGTGCAATAATAGAGTTCCAGAAGTGCATGTATGAGCAATTGTTCCCACAAATTGTTTGCCTGCGGTGCACAACAACATGATGCATCAAGTATGGGAAGCTTTCCTGCTGGTACTAGATACCCTAGCCTAAAAGGCAACACCTACTGTTAAACAATCTAAAACCATTTGAAGCTTTTGTGTCATTTTTAGGGCTGCAATATATATATATATATATATATATATAAACACGAACCAAGAGGTGTTAGCCCTCCTAGTAAGTGCACTTCTTGAGGATCAAATTTGTTTTCTCACCTTTACAAGAATGGAGAACAAATGAACAGAAAATTTCTATATTTCTAGTGATTCACAGCAGAGATTATCTTAAGAACTATGTGGTGATTATGTTAAACGCTTAACTAACTAAACGATCCAATATATCATAGTTATCAGATATAGATTAGAACAAAACCCAAATGAGTAAATTGGCATCCTCAAATGTGATTAAAATCAGATTCCCAATCCTCAAATGTGATTAAAATCAGATTCCCCTTTCACTGCAGAAAGAAATACAAAAGCAGCTATTAGTCTGTTATAACCGGATAAACAAAGTTACAGCCTTGTGTTGATTGGCCATTGAAGGAGTACAAACAATCCATGAGTGCTATATCACCTGATGAGTAGTAATATAACAGTACTCCAGAAATTAAGCTATAGCACTGCAAATTACCATTTGCATTCCACTGTCACTGATCCCTCCAAACATTAGCATTTCCAGAAATTATGAGAAATTTTCATGAATTGAAAGTGCATTGCGTGATTCACTAATTAATAGAATAAACTCTTAATATAGGAGAAATGCTGCAGAAGGTTTCAATCTCCCAGATGACGTTTTTTTCAAGTGAAACCAAGAATTCACCTGGCATAAAACATGCCTTCAGACCTTGCCGGAGATTCCATAAGATTTTCAGAAAGTGGGTCTCCAACAGTTAATCCATTCAAGCTAGATGCCATTATCTGCAGAAAACAACAAAATTTAGACAAAAAAAAGGATCAAAATGCAAATATCTATGCAATATAAACTTGATAGTAAAATCTCTTAATTAATTGAATAAAGAAACATTTTATTCCTACTTAATTGATAAAAAAATCAAAACAAGACAACAAAATTCCAAATCATAACAAGGGGAAAAAAAACTTCACCGAGAGTGAAAAACAAAGTAAAGTTCAACAAACAAAAGTAAAAGCATTTTAAGAAAACCTAGTTCAAATCTCCAGAACAATATTGCCCATGAACAAAAAATTCAGAAATGAAAGTAAAGCTCACAAAATTAGAAGAAAATCAGTAAGAATTGAAAATTATATAATCTTAAACTAAAAAAGAGACTGATAAAGATAAAGGACAAACCTCACTTAGATAGCGCTTGTGAGAATGTAGATTGTCGAGATAGACCTCGTCTTCGGGATCTCTACTTCGCTTCCCATTTGGCGACGCCGTTGATGGCGGTGTTGAGTTCGAATCCGAGCCCATTTTACTTTTTTTTTTTTCCTTATTTGATTAAAAAGCAAATCAAATTCAATAATTTCATCTTGTTGCTAACACCAAAAAAGTAATCACAATCTAATATATAATTAAGACAAGGAAATTTTGTGTTCTTGTCGCGTTGGATACCGCGAAAAAAGCCAAAACGCCAGGAGTTTTGTTCAACAGTCACCAGATTGTAAGTTCGTGACAGAAGTATCACTTTGGAACTCAGACCCCCTGTTGTCTCTTAACTGAAGGATAAATGCACAAGCAAGCAGATATTATGTACCAAAAAAAAAAGAAAAAGAAAAAGAAAAATACATCAGCAGTTGTTGACACGTGTCTAAAGAGGGTTATTTATTACTATATTTCCCCTTCCGTCCTATAACTTATACAAAATTTAATTACTGTAATTAAATTATAATTTTTATTTTATTTTTCTTTTTCTAATATAATTAGAATTCCATTCAAACTCAAGTAATTTAATATTAAATCGTTATAATTATTTATCTAATGTTAAAGGTAATAAGCTATTTAATGTTGATGGGGCTGTAAGAGGAAAACGTGGTCCGGCTGGTATTGGTAGGGTTTTGAGAAGTTTTCTTAGCGTGGTTAATTGTTTTCATCGATGGGTGGGAATTTTAGACTCTAATGAAGCTGAATTATTGGCAATTTTGAAGGCTGCTGAGTTATTTTGTCATCCACTACAAAAAAAATGCAAAATTGCGACCGATTTTTGCGACCGACTTAATTCGGTCGCAATTTTGAGACCGATTTGCGACTTATAAGCCACCGGTCGCAAAATTTCTACTACAAAAAAAATTGCAATTGCGATCCCGAATTTTTTGCTGATCCGACTTAATTCGTCGCCAATTTTGAGATCCGATTTTGCCGACTTATAAGCCATCCTGTCGCAAAATTTGGCGTCAAAATCCTCCCAAAAGTAATGAAAATTCCCGCGAGAATGGTTAATGATTTGCGACCTGTGTACTACCGATTTGCGACCGATTTTGCGACCGATGTGCGACTAAGTGTTCTTCTGTCGCAAAATTTCGCGCGTCAAAAATGTTCCAAAGTTCTGAGACCGATTGGAGACTAAATTGCGACCGATTTTTTGCGACCGATATATTTAGTCGCAAATCGGTGGCAATTTTGGAGCCTAGTCATACGACGTCGGCTCATTAAATATTGCGACCGATGGTTATAACATTTGCGACCGATATGTCGGTCGCAAAATTTAGGGCTTTAAGCGTCGGGCCCTCTCTTTTTTCTTTCTTCTTCTTTCTCTCTTTCTCCTTTCTCCTCTCCCTCTCCTCCCGTCCGCAGCGGCCACTTCCGGCCCCCTTCCTGACCACCGTTCCAGCCTACCCGCCTGACGCAGGGCAGCCCCGCTCGCTTTGCACTCCGGTCAGTCCTTGTTGCGAAAATCTTTGAGGTAGTTTTATTTTGCCATTAATTTTTCCAATTTTTTTTTTCGATTTATTTATTTGTTTTTATTTATTTTATTTATGGTTGATTTGTTATATAGAGTTGCGATTAGTATTTTTTATGGTATTATATTATTATTATATTATTATTATTTATTATTATTATTACTTATTATTATTATTATTATTTTTAATTATTTATTATTATTATTATTATTACTGTTCTACTATTTATTATTATAATTATTTTTGTATTATTGTTGTTGGTTATTTATTTACTAATATTATTAACATTATTATTATTATTTATTATTGTTGTTGTTATTATTTATTATTATTATTGTTATTAGTTATTATTATTACTACTGTTCTTATTTATTATTATTATTAGTATATATTTATTATTATTATTGTTGTTGTTGTTATTAATATTATTATTAATGTTATTATTAATTATTATTGTGGATTGTATTATTATTATATATATAGTAGTTAATTGTTATTGTTATTGTTTGTGTTATTATTTATGAATTAGTATTATTATTATTAGTATTATTGTTGTTTATTAATTATTATTATTCTTAATGTTTTATTATTATATTGTGATTGTTATTATTATTATTATTATTAGTATTATTGTTATTGTTATTGTGTTGTTATTATTATTTTGGTATATTGTTATTTGTTGTTGTTGTTATTATTATTATTATTGTGAATGTTACTTGTTATATGTTATTATTAGTATTTATTGTTAATGTTGTTGTTTGTTATTTTTTTTAATTTTAATTTAACATATATATATGCAACTTTAAATAAATTAAAAATTGAGTAGAAGTTTCAGTTCAACAAAAAAGCCCCGTAATTATATATTGTTACATATTTTATTTTAAAAATGAAAAAAATTAAAATTGTTTGCCTATAATATAAAATTTAATTAACCCTTAATATCCAAGGCAATATAGAATAAAATATCATTTTTATCATTTACAAATTTTGACTAAATTGAATTGAAAATTAAAATAGAATCGCTGCCATTAATATTTTAGGAAAAACGACTTTGAGATACATTCGAGTGATATCGAGCGATTAAAAAAATTTTAATTTTTCAAATTTCACATTAATTTATGCAATCTTTACCGATGGGTGATAAATTGAAATTTAGCAAGCAAAATTTGAATGTGATTTAGTGAGAACGCCAAATTTTTTGCCTTATTCAATCTCTATTTTATTTATCTTTTCTAACAAAAACATTTATTCTATTAAAAAATTGCATTTCTTTTGCTTTTAAAGTTTCTATTTTATTAATATTTATAAAATCTCAGTAATCAATTACATATAAAACTATTTGTAAAATTATTATAAGTTAGAATGATTTTTAAGTTGTTTATAGGAGAGAAAAACAATATTTTTAAGGTTCTAAATTTATTGTGGTTTGATTTATTTATATAATTTTTGTTAGGACTTTTAATGAAATAAATGTTGAAATTAACATTTAGTAGTTTTTTCTTATTTCAACATTTAATTTAACTAAAAAAATGGTTGAATGTATAAAAAAATTAAACTCATTTGGTTATTCCATCAAACATTTTCTCATATATCTAATAAGTATCTAATTTTTAATAACTTATAAAATTACTTTTCACAAATTTTCATCAAAGTTTATAAATTTGAACCGAATATAATTAAATTTATTAAAAAAATTTAATCAAAACTTTGATAGATACTTTAGTAGACCATTTTCAATAGTGCTGCAACCAGTGTCGCGAAAAGTTTCAAAGTTTCAAAAGCAAGCTGTTCATTTTGAAATATACAGAATATAAATTATGGGGATTGAAAATGAAAAGCAATTTTCTTTTATTATATAATATTTACATTTTATTCAAGTTAATCGAAAAAGAAAATATTAAAAGAAAAATATGCAAAATTGCTGACGTTGATACTTTAAGATTTCAGTTTTCAATATATTGCTCCCAAACTACAAAAAAACTAATTGTAAATATCTTTAAAATCGTGTATACGTAGTTGATGCATAAAAAACTAACTCTGTGAAGTATCTGAACAAAAATAATAAACAAAGTACAAAACTAATTGCTCCAATTTTTTTTTTTTTTTGAACGGAAATAATTGGAATGTATTATAAATAATTTTTTGTGTGTTTAGGTTTATTACATGTTTCTTAATTATTGGCAACTCTTTCTTGAGAAGTTTTGGCTGTTTGTTTTTCTTTTATTTTATATTATTGTCGTTATTTTCTTAAATGATGTTTTTGACTTCAAATGCTATGATGAGTTTGGATTGGAGCCTGAGTAGGGCCATTTTGCCCTTGGAGAATGTTGGTATGATTGATAGAAGTGTTATTGATTTGTTTTTGTAATTTGAGATTTTAATTGTGTTGTGCCGAAAATGCTGCCGAATTTTTTTCCCAAAAATTCAATTATGTTAGAATAGTACACTTACCTTTATTACAGTATCTTTGTATTCAATAAATTGAACTTAGTGATTTTACATTTAATTTTGTATTGAATAAATGAACTTAGTGATTTTACATTTATATATAGTTACCCTTATTATAGAAATAACCTTAGTTAGTTATAAGTGTAAATTGAACATTAAATTAGTGGCATGTTTTAAGGATGGTTTAGACTAATGCAATTACATATAATTTACCCTTTATAAACACATTGTTAATTAGGTAAAAAAAAATGCGAAATAATCGAAATTGGATGTACTAGAGGTTCGAGGTCAATGGGATATTAAGACAAGAGTTCCTGCAGAGGCGTTTATACAGTTTGCAGTTGGTAATCCCAGTTTTATGGATGGTAATAAGTTGAGGTGTCCATGTAATCACAAGAAGTGTCGAAATCAAGCCTTATTAGACATCGATACAGTGAAACTTCATTTGTGCAAACATGGGTTCGTGGAAAATTATTACGAATGGATACATCATGGTGAAGCTCGAGT